TACTGCAGATCGCTTCTCGCAGATAATTAGAATGCTGAGCGTTCTATCACGCTAAAACATTATGAAAGGTTAAAAAAAAAGTCGTGCTCGGGTCGGGCCAGAGAATCCTGAAAACCTTTTCGGACCGGGTAGGGCTGGGGCTCCACCCCCTCGGGCCGGGCCGGACACGGGCTCAGATTTTAGGCCCGTGCAGGGCTCTAGCGCAGCGTACATTTTGGAGAAAATTTAAGACTTTTGGGTGCGCCTTATGGTCGTGAAAATACATTAATTTCAATTACCGTAAATCCTCTAATAAAGGCGGTATTCAATTAAAGACCGGGTCTCCAATTTTGGCCGGTGTCGGAGTCAGCGGAGGTAAATAATGGCCGGTCTCTTATTGTGGCCGGATGGAATGTGGTAACAAGCAAGTACGAGCGTCCCAGCTGCAGGGTTATAGTCCCGGAAACAACCAGCAGGAGGCAGTAGGGGTTCACGCAGACCTTTATTAGGCTTTTTCTACTACGCTTTGTAACGCTACAGACACATCCTCTATCACGCTCCTACCACACAGAGTCACGGTGTCAGTTAACCATGCTAATTCAACCCGCTCCACAGAACACACATCACCTTCCCTGTGGCTTACATAACACTCACACAACACGCAAATCAGCACATAGGAACTAGCAGAACGATAGGAAACACAAATAACACAATACCCAGAATGCACCTGGCTTACAACCCCAGCCAGGTCATTACACTATCAAGTTCAAAGAGAACGTGCTGATTATGCTGCAGAACACTCTGGAGAGCAGCAGTAGGGGGTGTATGAACTACAGTAATCCCTCGTTTATCGCGGTAGATGCGTTCCAGACCTGGCCGCGATAGGTGAAAATCCGCGAAGTAGGGACTCCCAGCATGCCCCTCGCGGGGATTCCCTCCACGTCGCGCCTGCGTCACAAACCGCGGCTATAAACGGAAGTCGCCTTTCCAGCTCACCACTCAGTCATCGTTTCTTCAGATTCATGATCAGAGTTTCCAACCTACCGATCCAAACCACGAACTATCAGCTCATAGTAAGTTATCTTACTTACTTCAGGAAAGCCCGGCATTTCCGTGTCACTTCGTTGACTCTCGAACGCTCGGGGGTTTCCTAGAGCAGCCGGCGTTTCCCCGACGCTATCACTTCCGCGTCTGTGAAACCACGCTCCCTATTGAATTATCGTATGATCACATTCTCTGTGATCAGCAACGCGCTGTGCCAGACTGTAGGTACTGGCACGCGATCGTTCATGTCAGTTCATTTCCTTTAATGTTTTCTGTCTTTTATTTGCGCCTGATGCGTTTCGCTGCATGCTGTGGAGCGGGGCGCTGCTGGGCATCACCTTGTCCTCCGACGCACTGATCACTGATACGGCCGCCAAACAGCAAGCGCTCCGCTGTTTTTGCGGTCGGTAGATCTTTTAGAACTGCAGTTCAAAGGTAACTCATAAGGTGAATATATATGAACCCAGGTAGCAGTTTCTCTTTAGGATTGAGAGGAGATGCAGGAAGATAATAAACAGGCAGGACAGAAAAATAGTCAAATAAAAACAAGTTAGTTTTTGTAACTGTGGTTGCAACAAACAGACACCATTGAAGGTCATCAGAAGTGAGGAACAGAAAATGAAATAATTATTTTAATGTTTAAAGCAGCAGGAACTCCGAGAGGCTGCAGGCGCATCAGTGAGTTTGCGGCCGCTGCGCAGGGGGAGGGGGGAGAGGACTGAAGCAGGAACTACCGTTGTTAAAAGAAATGTGTTTAACTTTGAAAATGTGGGCGCAATTTTAATTGTCAAAAACTCCAGCGAACCATTAGTTCATTTTGCTCAAATAGAAATAGAGGCCTGCCTCTAATACTGGCCCTCCTTCCAATAAAGGCCTGGAGCTTGATGAGCTTGCGTCAAATACAGGCCCGGGCCTGTATTAGAGGATTTAAGGTATTTGTAGCACTGTCTCTTGTCCATAATTTTCTCCTGTTCAAATTCAAAGATACTTTATTAATCCCAGGGGGAAATTAGTTTCAGTACACACAATTCATAGATCAGACATACATGGGCAAGACACATGACAATAATTGGTGACTGTGGTCATTCGCAACCTGAGTTGCGCTACCTTAATAGAGATCAGAGGGTTTACATGAGGGTTGGTTCAGGTGGAGGGAAAAAAAAGGCACTTCAGAGTTACCCTCCACAGGGAGGGGAGATTTGCTATGCAAAAAACACCTAAGACAGCGATGCAACAGGCTTCAGACATCACACAACATAAGTGTCCACTAGGTGGGGTGGTAGGGTTTGGGACTCTACACACGTCAGTGCATGCAGCCGCGATAAGCAGCGCTCTTCACATCAGTCTGGACAGAGGTGGGAGGTCGTTGGGTTTAGAGGGCACAGTGACTCTTGGAATGATTCAGCGGCCTTCACAGCTCGCTGTCCCGCCCAGGCCGGGATAGGGAGACAGAGTTGTCATGGCGACGGCAGCATTCCACATTTCTTCGGGGGGGAATTCTTTTCAGGCTCACAGGCTCAAGGGCACCTGATTCAGATAAGAAATTGTTTTGGGGCCAGACACAGATCATTTCTTCTCTGTCTTAGAGTTCCGCTGTTCCTCAACCTCTCAAAATCTAATAATGGCGTAAATTTAGGGCTGCAGCTATCGAATATTTTTGTAATCGAGTACTCTATCGAATCGTTTTTTCGATTAATCGAGTACTCTAATAAATTACCCTTTTGTGTTTGTAAACCTTTATATCATATATTGATGAGCCAAGATGGCGCCGAGTATGGCTGCCTCGTCGCGAGCTCCACCAAGTTCCAACATTGCACGCTCCATACTGTACATTAATGCCACTGTTTTGCACATACCAACCTCTGTACATTTTATATCTCTTATCTTATTGTTTACTTTATTCATTTGTATACTTAGATTAGCCATTTTTATATTTTACTTGTTTTTACAAGCTGTATTTTTGCACAACTCTGTTGCTGTGAAGCTCGCACACAAGAATTTCACTCGCATGTACTGTACCAGTGTACCTGCACATGTGACGTGACAATAAAAGTGATTTGATTTGATATCAAATAGCATGTTATAATTATGAAAGACCTCTTAAAATGAGCAAGCAATTGCCAGTTATTCAAGTTTTATTCAAAATTAGTTTGTATAACTTCAGCACTTCAACTTTACTTCACAGTAAACAAATGCCTGTGCAAAAAATAAGTAAACCTGAGCCGATTTTCCCCTCGTGCGAGAATCTGCTAGCCTGCAAGCCAGACAAAAACTAGGAGGATAACTGCTGAAGTAGCGCTGCGAGCGGCTGCGGCCCAAACAGAACCAGAACCGCTCACGGCGCAAACAGCTCGCCGGCTGTTTCCCTATTTACACGTCCGTTTTAATTTCTACACTTTTTGTCTCACACTAACAAGGATTGCCAAAAGCATGTTTGCTGTGGTTTTGTCAAATTATACTGATCACAAAACATTTATTTACTTTCTTTCGTTTTCCTCTGCCACTCATAAATACCCGTGTCCTCCTGCAGAAACCCCGAGGGACAACAGACATCAATAACACAATAAAAAGTCCGACGTGTTGTGTAAAAACTGCTATTTTTTTAGCACATTTTAAGTCCGACGTGTTGCTACCAGACGTACGGTGTGAGCTGAAACTGAGTGCTACAAACGAAAAAGTCGCAGAGTCCGCAGAATATTTAGAAAATCAGGCTAAAATGCATTATCTTGTAGAGGCTCCGAGTCCGCTTGCAGAAGTGACATTTACAGGTGCTGCAGCACGGAGGATGTGGTGTTGTGGTAGGCTAAATCCGTTTTACTGTATTTATACTGGACTACGTTTTCCGCCTTACGAGGTGAAAAATGGTCCCACAACTTTGACATTTTCTGTCTTTTTCGCACTCCACCGGGGTTCAAGTTGTCCGCCATGGCTTAAGAGAAAGTTAAGTTATATTCGCTACTCGCGTGTGCATTCAGTCCAGTGGGCATGTGCGTCACTTATTTCGGTCCGGGTGAAACATGACCCCAGGCGATTGCAAAGCCATGAATTAATTAAATATGAATTAAACGAATCCTCGAGGCAGAGAATTTGACTCGAGGATTTTTTGTACTCGAATTATTCGAGGTACTCGAGGAATCGTTTCAGCTCTACGTAAATTAATCTATTCCGTGCTGATTCGTCCACTCGCTCCTTGATCGCATCCACCTTCTGTGCCAACGCATGAATCTCAGACAAAGTCCCAAGCTTACGACTCATCTCAACAATTATATGAGTCTGTGCATTCACAGCGCGGTGCAAACCATCTCTGAGCTCCGAGATTGAGCCAATATTCCTCGACAGCTCGTTAATTTTCCGGTAAATCAGGTAACTTCCAAGGCCAAAGAGCAGGAAACCTGATACCAACACCACGAATATCCAGACATCTTTAGAATCCTCTACAGATAGCTGAGATAGGCAAATCAGGTTCCACTGTTTCCAGGAGTCCATGATGTGACCAACTGGGTCTGTCCCAGAGGGGCACCCGAGAGCCCCTTCTTCCGTTCTCACTGTTGAGAAAATTTTGTCAATCGCGTTGAGAGACCAGCTGACCAGGTCCATTTTTAATAATTTCCAGTTTCCAGAAAAAATGTAGAAGCGCCGTACACCCAAAGACACACAAAGAGCCTTGGGGATAATATAGGGAGGAGAGGAGCAAAAATGTTTCTGTACTCTTCAAGAGCCGGAAGAAGTAGGTGTTTGTAGAGAGGATCTTAAGGTGTAAATGCAGTAGGCTGGATGTCTGGTTTGTAAACTGTCTATTAGATCATTGATGATCCATTCAGATCCATTAGTTGTTTTCTATTAGAATAAAAGTTAGCTACTCCAGATTTGAGTTCATCAGGGAAAATGATTGAGAATCTCTCCACTCAGTAAATTTGCATTTCTTTTCTCCCAGCAGTGCTGTTGAGGTAAATGTTTTCCTTTTCTTTTTAAACCAGTGAAAAGTCTCCTCCATCGAGGTTGCGTCAAAAGGACCGTTCTACAAGAAATGTTGATGAAGGTAGGAAGAGGAGGTCGCCTGACTGGAGGCGGCGCGGCAATGAGGAGCACAGCCCACATCGCCAGGGAGGTGAAGGGGTAGGGCTGAGTTTTCTGGTCCAGTAATAGTCATGAGACTTACTATCATTTACTGCATTTACAATAAAACCTTTTGTTTGTCATGTAGAGGAGACCCAATTTGGATCAAGACAAAGAGCACCAAAAGAAGGCAGAGAAGACACAGAGGAGACATGACTCCTCATCACCTTCTCCCCTTCCTCAGGCAAAAAAAACCACCAACAGGGAGAAAGGAAGGAGATCTAGAAGCAGGGAGATGGAGAAAAGGAGACGTTCAAAGAGCGTAGAAGTAGAGAAAAGAAGGCGCTCCAGGAGTAGAGAGAAAAGAGATAAAGGAAAAGAGAGTGTACCTCAGAGGATCAGACATGACTCCTCCTCCTCCTCCTCCTCCTCATCTACCTCTCCTTCTCCTAAGCAAGAAACCAGGAAGGAAAGAGGCAGAGACACTGAGCATAAACGAGAAGAGAGCAAACAGCACAGAAAGGCCAGACGAGATTCTGCATCTCTTTCACCTCTCCCAGAAAAGAAGGCAAGGAAAGAGAGGAATGGAGAAAAGCAGAGTATAATTCAGAAGGAAGTGTATAATTCACAAACACCAAATGAAAGAGACAACAGGAAAGATGGTGCCAAGTGGCAGAATAGAGAAACATCTCCTCGCCATCAAAGAAGTGACAAGAAAAGGGATGGACATCCGTCTCAAGGCTCTCCTTTCCCCAGTGGAGGTCCGCGAGAGAAAGAGGGAGAGAGGAGACTAGAAACAGATAAAGACAGATCTAAAGAGGATGGGTATTTGGAAAAGCAAAAGGAATGGGATGTTGGAGGGAGGAGTCGTGAAGCTGTGGTCCAGTCATCTGTAGAAGGTAGGAGAGAAGGGTCGAGACCTGAGACATCCCAAAGCAAGAGGCCTGAGAAGATGAGAAGTCCTGTGAAAGAGAAGAAACGTGAAGAGCAAACTAAAGAGGTCACAGAAAAACAGGAAAGCAGCAGTGGAAGCAGCAGCAGTGACAGTGATAGTGATAGCTCCTCTTCATCTTCCTCATCCTCTTCTTCTTCATCATCCTCTGAAGATGAGGTTGAAGCCAAGAAAGCTGGATCAGCAGAGAAGGAAGGAATCGCTAAAACAGATTTATTGATCATTGGAGCTGCTGTTGAACGGTATTTAGTCAATGAGAAGAAGGAAAGTTCTGCTTTAGTGGAAACCAGACGTTCACAGAGAGACCAAGAAGCTGGAAGGGACAGTCCAGAAAGGGAAAGACCATCCTATAAATCTTCTGCAGAAGATCTTCCACCCCAGACAAAAGGACAGGAGTGTTACAGTCCCACACAGATGGACAGCCCCAGTCCTCCCCCCTCCCCACCCAGCAGATTGGACAACCAAAAAGGCAGCCGGTGTTCTCCCTCAGAGGCCAAAACTAGGGATGAAGATAGAACCAGGAAGACCACTAGGTCAAGCCCCTCTGCTAGGAGCTCATGGTCTCCACCCCCAAGAACCTCCACTGCCCCTTCAGCTCGTCACACTCCCCCAATGCAGTACCAAGATCCTCTATCTCCATCCAGAAGAGCTTCTCCTCCAACCTGGTCAGAACGGGACAGGTACAAGGATCGAGAGCCGCAGAGAGGGGTTAGAAGGAGTAGGTCCAAAAGTCCTAGGAGGCGCACCAGGTCTAGGTCTGGAAGTCCCAAAACGTATGGGAGGTCAAAGGCTAGGGGTCCAGTGAAGCGCAGCAGGTCAAGACCTAGAAGTCCAAGGAGGCGCAGCGGATCTAGACCTAGGAGTCCAAGAAGGCGCAGCGGATCTAGACCTAGGAGTCCAAGGAGGCGCAGCGGATCTAGACCTAGGAGTCCGAGGAGGCGCAGCGGATCTAGACCTAGGAGTCCGAGGAGGCGCAGCGGATCTAGACCTAGGAGTCCGAGGAGGCGCAGCGGATCTAGACCTAGGAGTCCGAGGAGGCGCAGCGGGTCTAGGCCTAGGAGTCCGAGGAGACGCAGCGGGTCTAGGCCTAGGAGTCCGAGGAGGCGTAATGGATCTGGACCTAGGAGCCCGAGGAGGCGCAGCGGGTCTAGGCCTAGGAGCCCGAGGAGGCGCAGCGGGTCTAGGCCTAGGAGCCCGAGGAGGCGCAGCGGGTCTAGGCCTAGGAGTCCGAGGAGGCGCAGCGGGTCTAGGCCTAAAGGTCTGAGGAGGCGCAGCAGATCTCTTTCTAGAAGTCCTAAGAGAGGCAGCAGGACTAGGCCTAAAAGTCCAAGAAGGCACAGCAGATCTAGGTCTGGCAGTCCAAAGAACAGCAGGTCCATATCAAGAATCTTAATGTGTCCAAGCCCGCCCAATGGGTAAGAGCCTTGACACAATTGCTATCCATGCAGTTTCAGACTTCTGTGTCCTTAACGCTGAATACGTTTTCTGCTTCTCCCTCCTACTGGTTGAAAGTAGAATTACAGCTGTTGTAAACAACCCTGTCTCAGCCTGCTGTAGCTAGCGCTAACAGAGAGCTAACAATAACACAAGACAACCAATTCTAAACAAGCCACAAAGTAAAAAGATCCACACCGTTGGACAAAAATTATGACTTAAAAGTCCTAGTAGCAACAAAGCTATGTCACCATCAGTCTGTTATTTTGTAGCCTCCTTTAGCTCCCTCAAACTAGTGTGGACTGTGCCAATGTTCACTCTGTTTTTAGCTTTTTGCTTCACCTTCATAGACGTCATTCTCTTACTTTAACTTCCAGGCTCCACCACGATACCAGAGGGCTTCAGATGTGAAGTAGCTCAAGTTTACGGCTGAAGAGCCACTAAAGGCAGTTTGAAAGAAATAGCTTCAAGTGTAGAAAATGAAAAAATCATATTAGAAGTTATTTTGGTTTAATACAACCAGAAACCTGGAGCATATGTGTCCGTCGAGAACCTAGAAGCTGAATTTTGGACTAATTGTAGTCATACTACTGCAGCCTGACTCAGGCCAGCATATAGCGCGTTACAGTAGTCCATTCTGCATATGACCAAAGCGTGAATGACAGACTCCAGGTAAAGTCTTGATGGCAGGGCTTAACTCTAGCCAAGTGATATAGGTTAAAGAAGCAAGTCTGCACAACATAGTTGGCTTGAGACCAGAATCCATTTTCACACCTAAATTGGTAACGGTGCTCTTCAAATTAGCGGCCAATGGTCCTAGATCAGCATCAGTGTCGACATCATCTGCGGTACCTGGAGAGAGCTTCATCTTCCACCCTAAGGATTCTTGTGTCCAATTTTTTAATAAAAAAAAAAACCACATTCCTTCTCTGTGTTCAACCCACCTGCTCCAGTGCATTAATATTTTAGTGATTTTGAGTAAATCCAACTAGTTTTTTATTCACATGTCGGAATTTTTGCCAGTTGATGTCCAACTAACCTGTCTAACCCTAACCACTGAGTGTTGGACACGACATGCAAACTCAAGGCTCTTAAATGGTTTTATTGAGGGTGTTTTGTTGGAAAGGCATTGATAGTATTTTTATATGCATGTTTTAACAAAAAGAGCTAAATAATGTCTGATTTTCTTTTTCATTTTAATAAACAATTCTTGGTTAAACTCAGATTGATCTGAAGTGACATAAAATGTCTCAAGTCCAGAAGTGAAGACTTAAAAACAAGTTTCAATAAAAACATCTGGTCCTATTAGCGTTTAGCTGTTAGCTACCTAACCAGCACCGACTCCTGCTGCCTTCTACCTGTTGAGTCATGCAGTTATTTCACTAAAGCAATGCTATGTTCATTAGAAACCTCATCAGACTTCTGACTTTTGTTTTTTACCGTCAGATCACGCAGATCTCCGTCTCCACAGCAGCAAGGAAAGACCGGTCCCTCCTTGTCCAAAGAGAGGGAGAGGGAGCGGGAGCTCGAGGCAGCCAGGCTGAGGGAAGCACAAGAGAGACTGAGAGAAAAGAAGGCTGTGCCACCTAAAGGTGTTCCCCAACCCCGCAGCTCATCTTCATCCTCCTCCAGCTCCTCTTCCTCCTCCTCCTCCTCCTCCTCCTCATCTTCTTCCTCACCGTCACCACCACCAAACCAGAATAATGCAAAGGCACCAGCAGGAAGAGATCTGAGGCCAAATCAGGAGGAAGCAAAGCCAAAAGTTCAATCTTCCTCATCCAAGGCTCCTTCCAGAGACTCTTCCCACATTCCAGCTTCAGGCAGGAGAGACTCTCCGTCAGACTCCAGGCACTCGGACTCATGCAGGAGAGGCCCCCCATCAGACACACAGCTCTCCAGTCTAGGCAGGGGAAGGTCACCATCAGGTTCTCGGCGCTCCGATTCTGGAAGGAGAAACTCCCCATCAGACACACGACCTTCTGACTCAGGAAGGAGGCACTCTCAGTCAGATTTAGAGCGCTCTGATTATGGAAGAAGAAGCAGACCGTCTGACCTGCAGCGCTCTGATGGGACCTCCATGTCATCTCCAGCCAGCAGCCAATTAGACTCCAGACATTCGTCCCAAGGGCGAATCAGGAAGCCGCCATCACCTGCGGCCCATCAGCCTGCACAACAAGCAGTCAGGACAGACGGTGTCGCTAACGGAAAAGGAAAGTCCAACAGGAGCAGCAGCTCAAGTTCCTCTTCGTCCTCCTCATCATCCTCCTCCTCCTCTTCCTCTTCATCCTCCTCCTCCTCAGACAGCTCTGACTCTGAAGTGGAGCAGGCAAAAAGGTGAGCTGTAGATTAAAATGCACGTTGAAGGATTAAAAACCCGCAGTTGTCTTTTTACTGAAACAGTTTCCTCTAACAGGAAGCAGGTGAAAACCCGAAGCTCTCACTCCTCCTCCTCTTCCTCATCCAGTGATGAGAAGGACACAACAAAGAAAAGGTGTTTCTCTTCAGGGACGTTTAATGGTCCAGACAGAGCCTTATGGTTTTGATTTTTAAAGTTTGGCTCTTTTTGAACATTTTTCTGAGCAGGAGAATAACGGTACCACATTTTTAAACACTGGTTCTGTTGTGTTTGCCTCACAGCCCTGCCAGGCCTCGCCGAGTGCCGGCCGACTCCCTGAGAGCCTCTCGCTCGCTCAGCTATTCTCCTCCGAGACACGTCAAAGCTGAAGCGTCTTCGCCCAGCCGAAGGTTTGGATCTACTCGATGGTGTTTACAAACTCAGGGACAGAAGATCATATGCTTTAATGCACTTCCCCCCCAATTATTAGTTAACTTGATGATCAAAAACAGAAAAGGTCACAGGACACATGAAGAAGTAAAAGTAGTTCTGAATAAAAGGGTCTTTAGGTGCTTTTTGAGGCCTAGGGCCAGTTACGCTGACTGTATGAACAGAGTAGAAGACAGATGCAGTCCAGTAGGGATGTGAATCTCAGAGCAACTCACGATTCGATTCTCAATTTAAATCGATTCACAATCAGTATTAACAAAAAGTGTCGGCTCCAGGATGAACTACTTTGTTGTACAAGTTAGTTAAAGCTATGGGACATTTTTATTAGACTTTAAACTGGTTGTGCTCCAAAAATGCTAATTTACTATGTAAAATAAAGTGATTCTAAAACTGTAAACAGAAACAATCTTTTGACCAAAAGGCAACATTTATTTTTGCTTACCTTGTAAAATATAACAAATCTGTAGTTACCTAACAGTAGCTTTGAAAGTAATACGGTCAAATACTTTTCAAGTATGTGTAGAAACAAGTTACATGAGTAATCCTGAGTACTCATTCATCAACTTAGAAAATAAATATGAGAATATCTCAAATTTCTGAGTATGTAAAAAATGACATCCGAGTGCCCTCTTATCAGCAGATTCAAACATAAATCATCTCAATTTATGGGGCCACAAAAGTAATCGGAGTACTGACTCTCCTAACAAAGATCAAGAAAGTGCATCTCAAACCTGTAACATGCCAAATATTTGAGTTCTTGGAATCGATTCTGAACCTTTGTGAATCGATTCTGAATCTTTATAAATAAGAATCCCGATTCAGACTTGAATGGATTTTTTTCAGCACCTCTACTGTCCAGACCAACACTCCTGATCTAGTCGTGATTGTTCTTTTTCCCTCCAAGCAGCCAAACTCTGTTTCGTTTAAGTTCACGTACATCAGGTGTGTCCAAGTGCGGTCCTGGGGCCATTTGCGGCCCTCGAAGTGATTTTGCGTGGTCCTCACTAGCGTTTATTGGAATAGTGGAATTAAGTCCCTCCAGGAGGTTGTTGATATAAATTCATATATTTTAATATTTGATGTTATAATTTGTATTATTTATTTTAGGTCTTTTTGTGCAGAACACATGAATGTTTGCATTCTTAGAAAAATGTTTTACTTTTGTGGCCTGTGAGGAGTTTTAACTTCATGATTTTGGCAGCTTATTTACCGTAATTTCTGGACTATAGAGCGCACCTCAATATAAGCTGCACCTACTAAGTTTTTAAAAACACATGGAGCTGTACTTAAATAAGCCGCACCGGGCTAAAAGCCACAGATATCTACTGGATTGAAAACGTAGTTTAACTGAACGTAACTGAACTGATAAGTATCAAACAAAACAGAAAAGTTATTGATTAGTTTATTCATCTTCCTCCTGCGCACTGAAACCATTAAAGTCCTCTTCAGTGTCGGAGTTGAACAGCCTCAGAAGAGCTTCGTCACATACCTTTTCTGTGGCGATGTCCGTGTCGCTGTCATCATCCCCGGGTGAAGCTGGCTTGAATGAGTTCTTCCCGCTGCCGTCTGCAGCGCCGAACCATGGATTCATTCATGCCAAGCTTACGTGTGGCAGCGCTGTTTCCCTCCTTTACTGCCAGATCGATGGCCTTCAACTTAAATGCAGCATCATATGAACTCATACGTGTAGTTTCCATGATGAGGGGGTATGGATTTGAAACAAGTTCTTCGTCGTGCCGGCTGCTTGCATGTGCTAAATTAAAATGAGCACTTTCTTCCATTTCCACTTTTGACTTCCACCTGTTTCACTTTCTGCTAAAGCGCCCCCTAGGGGCAGGTGAAGGAAGATCTTCAGTAAAGCCGCACCTCATTATAAGCCGCATGGTTCAAAGCGTGGGAAAAAAGTAGCGGCTTATAGTCCGGAAAATACGGTATTTATAAATATTTATTTTGGCCCTTGTCTTGAAGTTTACACATCCCTGACGTACATGTTCAGATACACATTATGTTTGCATTGTCACTCAAATGTTCTCATCAAAATGAAGTGAGAGGAAAGTGAACTTAAAGTCCAACAATGTCTGATTATTGACTTAATTTGGACTGATGAAGATGTTAATTTTTAGGCCACAGATAATCTACATTAGGATACACTCATTAAATCAGTCAGTTTTACATCTGTTGAGCTAAAATGTGCATTAGTTGTGGAGTCATTCCCAACACACAGTTCAAATACTGTTCGGACGAGATATGTAATGTTGTCGGGATTGGACCAAAATATAGACCTCTATCATTTCTCAAACTTAAGGTGACTTTGTGTCACTGTGTGTCTCCTATATGATATAGTTACAGGGTATCCGCGGGTCCTTAACTCATTCACTGCCAGCCGTTTCCTGATCGCTAACGGCCTTCGCTGCCAGCGTTTCACACCGTTTTTACTGTTTTTTTTTAAGAGTCACAGAACGCTGCGTGCTAGGATGATGTCGATGCCAAAACAACCAAAACAAAGAGGAGACTCACCTCTTACATCAAGAAGAATCCGCGTGTTTCGAGCTTTATCCGTTCTTTCATAATCCATTGTTGAATTGTGATCGGCAGATGCTTTTCCGGTTCGCGCCTCACTTTTTTTACAGGAACGGCCCTAAACGATCTCCAAACACATGGATGTGTTGCTTCCTGATCATGTGATCTGTGACGTATGCGGATGAAGGTCGGCTTCAAGGCTGAGAAGTTTGTTCTCTCAGCGCGAGGGCTCGTTCCGATGCTCAAACAGTAAAAAAATGCAAATGACGACTTTAGTCGTCATTGGCAGTGAATGAGTTAAAAAGTCTTAAATTTGCTTTTCCAAATTTAAGGCCCTAAAAATCCTTAAAAATGACAAATAATCCTTAAATACACTTTCCAAAGGTCTTAAATTACCAAAGACCCAATAAACAAGATTCTTTGATTTCTATAAAATTTTGGTGAATTTCTAGTTAGTGTTCAGCATTTTTTTGTGTACGATGTTGGCGTAAGCGGAACCGTACACATTCAGTTGGTTGTGAAAGGGGGCTATTTTTAGATGAGCACATTAGCTGGTTAAGCTAGTGGGAGCTTGCGCCATGGGGATGTGCAAGTTTAATGGTAACTGGATGGCTAATCCCACGTTTGCAACGTGGTTAGCACCGGTTCCAGGCAATAGCTGGAAATTATAGCTTAAATTTAATTTAAAAAAAATGGCTTACATTTGGTCAAAGTGGCCTTAAGAAAGGTCTTAAAAAGTCTTAAATTTGGCTCCCTTACATCTGCAGATACCCTGTATTTAACTGACTTTTTTATCATAGCAACCAATGATTTATACCGGACAATGTAGGGCTTTAAAAACATTCTATTTATAATATTCATCATCAGTGATTGGTGTAACAATAACCTATTTGTGTGGTTTTGTCTCTGTAGGAATGGCAGGAGACAGTCGCCTAGCAGACGAAGGAAATGAGTAAACAAACCCCCCAGAGATGCTGCTTCTGTGCTTGAACCTGACTACAACGTCGACTCTTGGACCGACTGTCTGTAAATGCGAGACTCCAAGAGAAATTTCTCATGCAGTTGTCCCCAAGTTTGTTTTATAATCAGCAATGCTGTGGGGCTACGTTGTTGTTTTATTTTTTATCTGGGTAGGAAACGCTCACAGTTATGCTCTTAACACTGCTCTTCTGTACTTGTACTGAATGTTGTGTTCCCCCTGTAGATACGAGCTGTCTGTATTCCGGTTATTATCATGTAACCGATATGTGATTTCCATGTAATGTGAACGAAACAAACCTGGGTAATTCTTTGTTGGAAATAATTCATCGTAATAACAAAAGGTAATTGTACATTTTACTTGGTGTAATTTTTAGTCTTTAATGGCGTGGAACATCCCGCCTAAAGTGGCTGATCCTGTAACAGATGTGCTGGTGCAGAAAATCAGCTTTAGCAAACGTCTCCCAGCTGTTCAGCTGAAGCTCTGGTTCATTAGACAGATTCTCTTTTTTAACTGAATAAAAGCAGCTGATGACGCAAGAATATCTGACAGTTATTTTCTCCTGGTGACGGTGGGAATGAAAGTGTTTGATTTGGTTTTTTCTTCTCCTGTAAAGTAAAGCCAGTTCATTCTGTTGCCCTTTGTTATAACTTGTTTATATCAATAAACTCACAAAATTATTTGTTTTTGCTGTAAGTCTGTGGAAGGCAGAAACTGCTTGAATTCAAATTATTAAATTGTTGGTTAACCTCCATTGAATGCCTGTAGAATTTCCAAAATGGGACAGTAATGTAAAGTATTGCTTTTAGTTTTGTTTAAATATTGAAGCGTGTGTTTATTGCTTTAAAGGATAAAATAAGATATTTTTCTTACAAAATAATTAGTGTCAATATGTAAATTATTTTTCAATTGTTGATGGAAATACAAATAAGGTTCAGCAAATTACGATATTGTTGAGCTGTTAGAAGACAAAAACATGAGCAGGAGACTTCAAGGTGTGAAACCTCATTAGCTGTAAACCCTTAGGAAGAGGCAATCAAGGGTCTGAGGAAGAAAACGCACAGTGTCCAGATTCTCTGTGGAAAGTTGTGGTTCTCCATCATAAATGTTTCACAACATGTTCAATACAAAACATGATACTTAAATTCTGTATCAAAGCAACACATTTCAAATAAGAAACATAAATGCAAGCTTTGAACTTTTCGAGTGTATTGCAACATGCTCCAAGAAAAACAAAAATAATGACAAAATATTAGTCAATTTTAACGTCGAGCAGAAATGACTCAGTGCTGTTGCAATACTGAAACTGGTTGCGACACACAGAGGAACAAAACCAGTTCTGGTTTTCTGGTGATTTAATTAGTAGATTGTGTGCTTTATGATAGCATATAAAAGTTTGTGAATTATCCTCCGGCTTATTTCACTTTTCTGTTTTTTACAGAAGTCAGATGAAGGAAAAATTATCACTTAGTTTTTGTGGGCCTCTCTATCTTGCATGTAAAGCTGGTCATTTCTCCCCCTGGTCCCCAGGTGGCGCCACTGCCCTGTTACGATGCCTCAGAGAAGTAGAGTTCACATCTTTTAATGGAAAAGTTAAAAACGCCTGTTATCTCACCTAAAGCAGACGGCTCTGTATTTGTCCTCAGCTTGAGGAAACAGATTAGTTCTGATCTAACAGATGAGTTAACATCAAGTTGCTGTTACAAATAACTCTGGCAATTTTATAACATTTACAATACCACAGATTTCACATTTTACTTCTGTGCAATCAATTTTAATTCTGTGCAATGTCACTGAAAACTTGACAAGGTATCTGTTCACTCTCCGTGGAGTATTTTATAACATGCAAAAACCCACACTGAGTTATTGTAAACCTAAATTATAAATTGTTGGTAATAGGATAAAAGCATTTCAAATATATCATAAAGAAGACACACACAGTGATATTTCAGAAGTGAAACAAAGTTTATAGGACTTACAGAAAATGTGCAATAATTGTTTACACAAAATTAGTTAGGTGCTTAAATTAATCCACAAAAAAGAAATTCACTCAGTATTTAGTAGATTCTCCTTTTGAATCAAAAACAGCCTCTAAACGCTTCCTGTAGCTTCAATGAGAGTCTGGATTCTGGTTGAAGGTATTCTGGACCATTCTTCTTCACAAAACATCTCTATTTCAATCAGGTTTGGTGACTTCTGGGCCTGGACAGCTCTCTTTAAAGGTGCATTATGTATAAATGAAATGGAAAAAGACATCCTGTGGTAAAATTTGGTTACTTTTTTGCTGGACATCGTTAAATTACTATTGTTGGCCCATTAGTTACAACCCTCCTTCTTTTGATTTGAATGGAGAAAAACTGACAGTCCCTTCACCTAACTGGATATGAAATATACTTCAGTATAACATTCCTTTCAAAATGACTGAAACATTAGACTCTTTTGGGAAATTATCACTATATTCTTTCATAATGCACCTTTAACTTTGAAACTCAGTTGAAAAGGAAACTTTTCAAGGAAATTATGCCTAACTTCCTAACTCGGTGTCTCTTTACTGACCTCTCCTGAAGCCAAAGCTATTTATTTTAAAGTGTTAAATGCTTTTTATCCATCCAAAAGTTTTCTTAGATAGGCTACCTTTTGTGATTTTAAAATAGAAAATAACTGAACAACTTTTTAACATGTGTATTGCCCATCGACATATATACATATTGCCCCGTATATTTATGTCGATGGTGCTTCAGTCCCGGATTTTCCCACACGCCTGAAGGCAGCATCAGATGCTAGTGGCTCATCAGCGCCGTCAATCAGGTGTGGCCGCACGGCGGTGAAGAGGCGTTGTGACCGGAGAGGCGAGCACCGTCCCAGCAGGCTCCACCGAGGCGAAACCAGCGTCCACAGCCAGCTTGGAAACATGACCCACCGTCCGAGATCCAAACCCACAAGCTGACCAAAGTAAGGCATATTCATTTACTCTATGGCTCAGAGTTTGACCTCGGAGTAAGAAGTTTCCTGACATGCCAGGTTCAGGGCCCGACTCCGTCATTCCAGTCGGGAAAAATCTGGACGTTTCTTTCATGACCGAAAACGGCATTCCGTTAGACACGGGTTATTGTAGAGCCGCGGTTCCTTGTTAATCCAGTTAGATTATCTGTTTAGTTTTTTTTTTTACAGACGTGTTTTAAGTATTTATTATGTAGTCTAACACTGCTCATGCGCGACCACCCATTGGTTAGTTCCACACTACAGCAAAAACTTGTGACCATGAACTAAACAGTTTCGCATTCAGAAACGTCTCCATTAAATTACTCATCCAGTAAAACACGTCACAGATGTATGAGTACCTACTTCAGATGGTACATTAAGCGTGTTTTTAATTTCGTGTTTTTAATTTATTGATCACTCCTGGGCACCAGTCGGAGCTAATCAATACTTTTATGGTCTTGCATCATTTAGCCATTTTATAGAAACAAAACACTTAAGAGAACGAAAGAAAGAAAATGAGCACACGAATAGGTAAAGCTGTGATTTGTTCGTCTGGCGTTACCATTAGCCTAGCTTTTATTTTATTAGTTAACTAAACTGCTGTCTGCAAAAGCTGGGCCATGAAAATTAAAACCATTTGAACTCTCACGCTGTCGGACCTCTGGCCTCGTGGATTAGAGGTGGTTCCAAGGGGGAAGATATTTAATGGAACACCAGCAGTGATTACAGCTCAGCACATAAAACACTTGAAATGTTATTAAAACTTTGTTTTTTTTAAAAGGGTATTTTTAAATGTTTTATGCCTTTATTCAAATGAACCCAAACCTCTAGCTATGTTGTTGTTGCCATCATCACAGCAAATGTTAAAGCTAAGCAAGATGAGAATGTAAAGCTGAAGAAGGAAGTTATATTTAGTGACTCAGCTGCTGATGGAGAATCAGCCAGGGAGGCAGGATGCACATTGTCTCAAAAATGAATCAGTATCACAATAATTCAGCCTAACTTCTCTCCTTTTTTTTTTTTTACCTATTTGTGTTTGTTTAGCACCTTTTCGTCCTCTGCTGAACTGAAGTGAGAGTCCCCTTTGTGCCTAAAAAGAGGGAATGAATGATTTTTTTCTCCAGCCACCAGAAAAAGCCAACATGAAATAAAGGAATCAAACCGAGGATTCTGAAGAGGAAAAGTGAAACACCAATTTTCTGCAGATTTTTTAAAGGGATGTAGCATTGATTGGATTTACGATTGGTGTGAAAACATAAAAATCCGTCTGTCATGGAGACCTGAAGATGTTTTAGTTGCTGTTCCCTGCATCCCAGGAGCTGGTGCGGACACGAACTGGAAATCCCCTGCAGTAGGGTGGAACTAGAACTAAGGTGGAAACATGCAGTTGGTTGTGGATTTTGAGCATGAATCATAAGCACTGAGCTCCCTAAACATGCTGAACGTTCTTCCTGGTGCTGCAGTTTCACTTCTGAACCAACGGGGTGAAGTGAACTTCTGAAGTGAAACTGTGGTGCAAAGCCTAACAAAGTTCAACAGATTCAACTGGAAATGAGGCAATCAGGCAGCAGGATGATGTTCTGTGACAAACTGTAGAGCGGCTGTGAGCGAGAGACACTCGGAGGTGGGCGTGAACACAAACCGCATGAGCTCTTGGAAAAACGGACGACCACCTCCTATGAAACTGGTTTTACTGGGAGAGTCAAACAGAGGCCATTTAGATGGCAGGAAAAGACTACAATCACCTGTTCAAGCTGCTCATCATTGGAGATTCCAGTTAGTACATTTTGACTGTTTCAAACTCTATAAAGTAGAAATGCAGTGATTCTGGTTTTAAAGTCTGAAACTGATTTTTTTTTTACCTATCTGATACCGATTTAGTCAGATTCTGATTTATTTCCAACTATACAGGTCCTTCTAAAAATTATCATATTGTGATAAAAGTTCATTATTTCCTGTAATGTACTGATAAACATTAGACTTTCATATATATTAGATTCATTACACACAACTGAAGTAGTCCAAGCCTTTTATTCTTTCTAATAGTGATGATTTTGGCATACAGCTCATGAAAACCCAAAATTCCTATCTAAAAAAATTAGCATATTTCATCCAACCAATAAAAGAAAAGTGTTTTTAATACAAAAAAAGTCAACCTTCAAATAATTGTGTTCAGTTATGCACTCAATACTTGGTCGGGAATCCTTTGGCAGAAATGACTGCTTCAATGCGGCGTGGCATGGAGGCCCAGGATGCTTCGATAGTGGCTTAAGCTCATCCAGAGTGTTGGGTCTTGCGTCTCTCAGCTTTCTCTTCACAATATCCCACAGATTCTCTACGGGGTTCAGGTCAGGAGAGTTGGCAGGCCAATTGAGCACAGTAATACCATGGTCAGTAAACCATTTACCAGTGGTTTTGGCACTGTGAGCAGGTGCCAGGTCATGCTGAAAAATGAAATCTTCATCTCCATAAAGCTTTTCAGCAGATGGAAGCATGAAGTGCTCCAAAATCTCCTGACAGCTAGCTGCATTGACCCTGCCCTTGATAAAACACAGTGGACCAACACCAGCAGCTGACATGGCACCCCAGACCATCACTGACTGTGGGTACTTGACACTGGACTTCAGGCATTTTGGCATTTCCATCTGCCCAGTCTTCCTCCAGACTCTGGCACCTTGATTTCCCAATGACATGCAAAATTTGCTTTCATCCGAAAAAAGTACTTTGGACCACTGAGCAACAGTCCAGTGCTGCTTCTCTGAAGCCCAGGTCAGACGCTTCTGCCGCTGTTTCTGGTTCAAAAGTGGCTTGACACGGGGAATGCGGCACCTGTAGCCCATTTCCTGTACACGGTGGCTCTGGATGTCTCTACTCCAGACTCAGTCCACTGCTTCTGCAGGTCCCCCAGGGTCTGGAATCGGTCCTTCTCCACAATCTTCCTCAGGGTCCGGTCACCTCTTCTCATTGTGCAGCGTTTTTTGCAACACTTTTTCCTTCCCACAGACTTCCCACTGAGGTGCCTTGATACAGCACTCTGGGAACAGCCTATTTGTCCAGAAATTTCTTTCTGTGTCTTACCCTCTTGCTTGAGGGTGTCAATGATGGCTTTCTGGACAGCAGTCAGGTCGGCAGTCTTACCCAGTAATGAAGCAGGCTGGGAGTTTTTAAAAGCCTCAGGAATCTTTTGCAGGTGTTTAGAGTTAATTAGCTGAATCAGAAGATTAGGTTAATAGCTCGTTTAGAGAACCTTTTCATGATATGCTAATTTTTTGAGATAGGAATTTTGGGTTTTCATGAGCTGTATGCCAAAATCATCAATATTAGAAACAATAAAAGGCTTGAACTACTTCAGTTATGTGTAATGAATCTAATATATATGAAAGTCTAATGTTTATCAGTACATTACAGAAAATAATGAACTTTATCACAATATGCAAATTTTTTTTTTAGGACCTGTAGGTACCAGATTTTTGTTAATGGTCCTTCACTGAAAAACTTTTTAACTTATTTTTGAAAATGACCGATCACTCTTGAGTTTTTTTATGCAGGCTGAATTTGTAAGTAGTCTACCATCTTCATTAGCTTCTGATTTGAAACTAGAGTTGTAAAACTCTAGGATTAGAATAGCCTGACAGATCTATGTCACACTATTACTTAAGCCTGGGTCACACTGTGCATTTATCAGCTGTTGTACAGGACTGCTCATGTCACACTGAGAACTACAGAAAGATGGCACTCTGTACTCCGATAGATTTCAGTGAGTCAGACTGCACAACGTCTCACTCTAGCAGAACATGCTACGTCATGAGCACACCTAGCTGAAGAGCATACATCTCTAATAGCAGAGAGCAAACCACAATGCTGAAAAGGCCCCACCGTTTAAACACTTCCTTTTATTAGACTCCAAACTCCAACAAGGAGTGTTGCTAATTCTACTCTCGTGTTGCACTCCCATCACTAGTTGTTTGCGTCATTCCCTTTGTGTATTTCCACTGGTCGATCGTAGACAGGAATTATAGGTTTTCAAGCAGTGCTTGAAGACCGTTAGAGGCGGACTTTAGTCATGAGGGTGCTCATTAAGCTGTCACAGAGCCGGTCTGTAGATGGCCACAGACTTGCAAATCAACCTCACGTTCACCGTTTTTTGTCACAATTAATTTAAAGAGATTTGTCTAGGATGGTCCGGAGTTTAACGTCCATGGACTCACCCATCTTGACTCACAACGGGGAAGGCTGTTGTTGGTTTAGCATCCAGGAAACGGCAGAGAACGTCTCAGCTAGTAGAAGCTAACCATTAGCATTAGCAACTCCACCACACAGTAGAACAACTTCAGACTTATTTGTGATAAAAAAATAAACGTTGCAGAGCAAATGGAATCCATGGTAGAGTCGTGCTGCTGTTAGCCAATCAGAGGAGAGATGTCCAAATATCAGGAAATAAGTGTCCAAATGCTGTCGTCTAAAGCTACTTTCTCCTCTGGCTGAATTCTCTGTGCAGGAAAAGACGCACCAGAGCTTTTTCAATGCCAGAATACGACTTAAAAGGCATTCATTCCTGCTATAGATCACTAGCCTGGCAAGCCATCCTATATATGTGAATATATAAACTTTGCAAGGCAAGAATTTGGTCTAGTTCACCTGGCTAATGACCACTGCAAATGTATTCAAATATGAGTGAAGGACCTCTTTAATGGCAACTTGGTGGCACAATTGGTAGCACTGTAACATCTCAGTGACAAGTTCCCAGGTTTGAATCCTGGCTGCATGTTTGGGTTTGCTTAAGTTTCCTCCTTTACTAAAAACATGCATGTTAGGTTGACTCTAAATTGTCCCTCAGTGTGAGTGAGTGTGTCCCTGTGATTGACCGAGACCTGTCCAGGGTGTCCACCGTCTCAGTGACTGCTGGAGTTAAGCACCAGCTGCCCGTCAGCCTTCTGAGAAATAAGCAGTTGAAGAAGACAAATGAAACATTTAATCAAATAGTTTTATTCAAATATTGTCTGAAGGATTTTGCATTGAATTTTCATCTTTGACTATTTTATAAATAATGATTCTGGAAGTAAAACTTTCCACACAGGTCTGTCATTGCTAGCGTGAATAAGTTGAGCTATGATGAGTTCAGGGATTGTGAAAACTGTTGGATATTTTGCTGTTCATTAAAAGGACATTTTTGAGGTTTAGATTCTCTCTTGTGCGTTTATGGTAAAAATTGTGTTATACGTTTGTTAATACTGATTCATAACATTTATTTTTGGGGTTCTCTTTTCTGACTAGAGAAAAAAATGAAACCATTTCCTGTTTAAATCCAGTTTTCTTCACTTTGACATCTGCTGTTTTTATTCCCTACAGCTGAGCTGCAGAGTAGAAGCAGTAATGCAGAACAAACACGTAGAAACAGCCCAGCTCAACAATGTCGCCGCATCTGTTTGAGGTTTTTTAGGAATAACAAGACACACCCGTAACATGTTTGGGTTCAGTTTACAGCAGAGGTGCAGGATGTAAATGCTTTTTAGATTTTTGTGCATAACAGATGTGGTGAGAGGCTGATAATAACTAACACACCATTTTACCAGCCCTGAGTTTGAGTTTTCTTTCACCAACAGGTGATGGAGTTGCACCTTCACAAGAAACTAGTTTCAGGCGACAGCGGGTCACATTTAAGACTGTTGGAGTCAGATTATCACAGCTGTTCTCTGGAAGTTTCTGTGTCACTTCAAGTCAGAAATTCTTCAGATAAAATCAGATGATTTCTATCAGACTGGCTCAGATTTTTCTCCACCTCCTCTTTTAATGATAATGAATGCGCTCCTCTGATGTTTTATTCAGTTTCACAGATGAAACATGTGAATGTGTTCCTGCAGAGGAACACCTTTCAGCAGGCCTACATCTCCACTCAGGGATGCTTCTGAAGACATTTCCTGTGTTTGAACCACAGATCAGCTAGATGATTAATAATCTAACATGTAGAAACGTGCAGCAGCAGGTCCTTACTTTGTGATGAGTGCAGTTTCCTGTTGTTTTTCAACTCGAGTAGTTAACAGACCAATCTGACCAGTTAAATTACTGTTTTTTTTATTTAAATGAATGTAAGAATGATATGTACTGTCAATCTTTTAAAGAAGTAATGTTATGTTTGTATTCATCGTCACAGGGATGGTTATAGCATCGCTGCAGATCCGATAGGTCACCATCGGCCATCTTCCTCGCTGTAGGACAAAATCTGTCCGTTGGTCTGATTTTATAGTTTCTGTTGAGCAGTTGGATAAAAACCAGGCTTCAGGAAGATGTTTCAGATTTCAGATCAGTTAGTGAAACCAAACATTATTAGTCACCTCTCCCTATTTAAGTCTATCGTTTCCCTTTTCTCAGTGAATCCCCCCTCCTGAGGATGCCACAAGGTCTGGTCTGACTGGAATGTAGCTAGAGAAAAAACTGGTTTTACTCACTCCCTAATCTAAGTCTGTGATCTTTTTCTCTTAGATGTGGGGAAAAGCAGCCTCCTGCTTCGGTTTGCAGACAACTCCTTCTCTGGTGAGCTGTGACACTTATTCACTTATTTTTTAAGTCCCAACATCTGAACTTAAGGGTTTATAGTAGAGCTGCAGGATATTAGGAAAACCTGCGATATTCGATAACAGTGCTTAATATTGCGATATCGATATTACTCACGATAAATGAACAAATACTAAAGTATGCAGTGTTGATGTCGTCTGGCGTGTGACGTCTGCTCTGGGTTCGAAGCAAACAAAAACTAATGCATGAATTCCATTACAACATAACATTTTTATTGCAAAAATATGCAGCTGCACCTGCTACTGTATTAGCAGCAAAACAACAAACTGCATGCATGCAGTTTGTTGTTTTGCTGCTACTGTATTAGCAGCAAAACAACAAACTGCATGCATGCATTTTCTCAGTGACTTTAAAACATCACCTCCACCATAAAACTTTTTCTGATGCTCCAAATACAGAAAAACATCCCTTACCAGGGTTTTTGAATAAATAAATAAATCAGAAAATAAGTTTAAATGTTAAATAATAGTTAACATCACTTAAATGCAACAGCAAATTCTCTCATTGCTACTGAACATTTTCTCCACTTATGTGGTTATGATATAAGGCTGTTGCTGTAATTGGGAAGTGAACTGTGCTGGGCCAAACTAGGAGAATATTAAGATTTTCTGAGGGAAAGAGAAAAACAATTGTCTACCTTTCAGAAGAGGAACTGGCAAAAAACTACATGGAAAATATGTTGAAAACGTTTGTTTTTAACCCCAAGTTGAACAAGTTTACCTAGATCTTAAAAAGCAGCTCAGATGATGAAACTGCAGCTATGATTCTGATAACAAGCTAACAAATTGAACTAGCTCCTCTTAAGATAACCGGCTAGCAAAGCTTCTGACTGACAGTTTATGTGTAGCAGCAAATCAACTATCCTGATTAACAAGGTTATAAAGCTCATAAATGAAAAATCACTTTGATGTGTGGGGGAACTTTTCCAGGCCCTCTTTAGCAGGGTGGGACTGGGAGGAGAGTGCTGTAGCCTTTTAGCTGGAAGCTAACCGGAGCCTGGGGCTAACATCACCTGGTGGAACACTAGCGACATGGAGGGAGGTGGGTTGGTTCACCGGCACGTGTCGGAGTCAGCCCGGTAAAAGTGATTCACGACACCGAGCGGACTCACGTTCACATTTGAAAGCAGCTCTGAATCCAGAAACCTCAGCACAAAGTGCGTTCGTTAATCTGAGCCAGCATGACAATCAAGGGAACGACGCCGCTAACTCAGTTCGGGTGTTGCTTTCCATCCTAAGGGTCTACATAGGGGGCGGGCGTATTACGTGAATGGACCCATCTGATTGGCCGCATATCAGAAGGGCTACATTTGATTAGTCAAATAATACTTCCGCATAAAAAACGGAGCTGGTTTACAAAAAGTTGATGTATGACACGGATGGAAATGTTGAACCAAACATTTATCACCGTTTTTGACGTGCTTTGCGATGGGCCTATCGCATGTCCTGTTATCGTGATGACGATAATTTTTCGATATATTGTGCAGCCCTAGTTTATAAGATCTGTTCTGGCATGCTTAGAAATCCCCTTGGATTTATTGGAATGTTCTGAAATAAAAGTTTTAAAGACAAAGTTCACTTTTTTACCCCCAACATATGTGTCTCTAGTATAAATAAATGCCTTGTGAGTCAGTCTCTGGTGCTCCTGTTTCAAGAACAAGTTTGTTAGAACAGAGGTGAGCAGAAGACGACAGAATTTGGACTCTTATTTCCTGATAATTGGACATCTCTCCTCTGATTGGCTAACAGCAACGCGACTCCACCACTGACTCTTTGCTTTGCAACGTTGATGTTTTATCTCCAAAAATAACACAAGCCTGAAGGAGTTCTGCTCTGTGTTGGAGTTGCTAATGCTAACAGTTAGCTTCTACTAGCCTAGATGTTCTCCGCTGTTTCATCCCTGTCGTAAGTCGAGATGGGTCAGTTCATGAATGTTAATTTTACATTATGACGTAGATCTGAGTGGCTTTTCTGATCCGAGCATTTCCTCATCTATTTTCTAACAGTGGCTAATGCAGGAAAAACAAAAAGAGGTAGACTGTCTTCACGCTCTGCCTTCATGTGAAACTCAGAGGATTGATATTTCAAAAAGAACAATAAAGAAATGTGAACTTGGTTTTCATGTGTCCAGATTATCTTTAAATACTCAAAAAAACAAACTAGAAGACATAAGTGCTTTGAACATAAGTGCTTTGACATAAGTGCCATCTAGGTCATGTTTCTGTGAAATGTCATCTCTGCAGCCCAGATGTTGAACTCTTGGCAGTAAGTTGTCGCCCATATTATTTGCCAAGAGTTCACCAGTGTTGTCTTGGCAACCGTTTATATTCCACCTTCAGCCATTTCTGAAAATGCATGTGATGCCATCAGTTCCGTTGTCGCTAAGCTACAAACCCAGCACCCCAATGCATTTGTGGCTATATCTGGTGATTTTAATCATGCCTGGCTCGCTCTCTGCTACACTTCCAACATTTCAACAGTTTGTCAGCTGCTCCACCAGAGAAAACAAGACATTGGATTTGTGTTATACAAATGTAAAGAATGCATACATGTCCAAAACAAGACCTTCTCTGGGACAATCGGATCACAATCTTGTTATTCTCTGCTCAGAATACAAACCACTTGTTCAGAGGCAACCTGTGACGAGAAGAACTGTGAGAAAATGGTCACAGGACGCTGAAGAAGCCCTGCAGAGTTGTTTTGAGACCACAGATTGGATGACTCTCTGCCAAGGATATGAAGAGGACATTGATGCCATGACTGGATGTGTCACTGACTATATAAACTTCTGTGTGGACAACATCATACCCACCAGAACAGTGAGATGCTTCGCTAATAACAAACCCTGGATCACCAGTGAACTGAAGAATCTGCTAAATGAGAAAAAAAGAGCCTTCAAGGAGGGAGACAGGGAATTATTGAGGAGTATACAGAAGCAACTGAAGATCAAGATCAGAGACAGCAAGGAGGCATACAGGTAGAAGATAGAGAACAAATTACAGAGGAACAGTATCAGAGATGTCTGGTCAGGGATGAAGAAGACCACAGGCTTCAAGCAGAGGAAGGACTGCGCAGATGGCAGCCTGGACACAGCCAATGAGCTGAGCAAGTTCTTCAATGGGTTCAGTTCAGGAACAGACCCAGCATCCTTCTCGCCTGTCCCCAGCCAATCAGACATCCCATCCTCCTCTGATCCAACATTTTCCTGTCACACACCAGCTCTTTTGTCCTTTAACGCAGTCATGGACTCTTCTGGTTCTATAGATCTGTCCTCAACCAAGTCAGGAGATGCTGCTGCCCCATTTACCTCCCCCTCCCACCTATCCATCTCTAGAAGTCAGGTGAAGATGCAGCTGGAGAGACTGAACAGGAACAAGGCTGCAGGTCCAGATGGTGTCAGCCCCATGGTACTGAAGGCCTGTGCAGAGCAGCTCTGTGGGATTCTGCAGCACCTCTTAAACCTCAGCCTGGCCCTGGAGAAGGTTCCAGTCCTGAGGAAGACATCCTGCCTTGTTCCAGTTCCAAAGAAAACTCGCCCATCAGTCAATGACGACGACATCCCACATCATGAAGGTCCTGGAGAGACTCCTGTTGGTCCACCTGAATAAGCAAACTAGGACATATCAGGACCCGCTGCAGTTTGATTATCGCCATGGAGTTGGAGTTGAAGATGCCATCATCCAGCTGCTTCAACCAATCCACTGTCATCTGGATAAAGCAGGCAGCACTGTGAGGGTCATGTTCTTTGATTTCTCCAGTGCATTTAACACAATCCAGCCTGACGTACTTTGCGAGAAACTCCAGAAGACTCAGGTGGGGGCCTCAACTATCGCCTGGATTAAAGACTACCTGACAAACAGACCACAGTTTGTGAGGCTGAAGAACTGCACATCAAACCAGGCGATCAGTAACATTGGAGCACCACAGGGGACTTGTACTCTCACCATTCCTTTTCACCCTGTTCACCTCAGACTTCCAGTACAAGTCTGTCATCTACAGAAATACTCAGATGACTCTGCAGTTGTCTGGTGTATCAGAGATGGAGTACAGAGAGCTGGTGGAGCGCTTTTTGGCATGGTGTGGAAACAATCATCTGACCTTGAATGTGAACAAAACAAAGGAGATGATTTTAGACTTCAGAAGAAACAGGGTGGCGTCAAACACTGTTTCCATCATGGGAGAAGTGAAGGTGGTTGAGGAATACAAATACCTTGGAGTTCACCTGGACAACAGACTGGACTGGAGAAAGAACAGCAAAGCCATTTACAAGAAGGGACACAGCAGACTGCACTTCTTGAGGACACTTAGGTCCTTCAATGTCTGTAGCAAGATGCTGCAGATCTTCTACAAGTCTGATGAGAGTGTAATCTCTTCATCCATCGTCTGTTGGGGTAGCAGCATCAGAAGCAGGGACCTGAAAAGGCTCAACAGCCTAATAAAAAAGGCTGGTTCTGTTCTGGGGATGACTGTGGAACCACTGGAGGAGATAATGCAAAGAAGGATTCTCCAGAGAATCAAGAAAATGATGGACAACCCTGAGCATTCTCTTCACAAGACTGTCCCAACAACGGAAGAGTGTCTTCAGTCAGAGGCTTCTTCAGTTTGGCTGCAACACTGACCGCTACTGGAGATCCTTCCTGCCAACAGCCATTGTAATATACCACAACTCTTTGACTTGATTATTATCATTGTTCTGAGCTACTACAGCAATCAATTTCCCTCTGGGATTAATAAAGTATTTTTGAATTGAAATACTTCTCTGTTTTTGCTGTTTCAGTCCTCCATACAGCTTATAAATCTAGTTTTATTTATAACGGCTTATTTCAAGAACAGCAAAGTCAAATTTAATACTTCTATTTTCTGCTAGGCCTTTAGTTCCGTCTTTGCCCTGAGATCTGTTATTTTGTTTGATGCAGGCAGCTACATCACCACCATTGGGGTGGACTTTAAGATCCGAACGGTGGACATGGAGGGGGAGCGGGTGAAGCTGCAGATCTGGGACACGGCTGGTCAGGAGAGATTCAGAACCATCACCTCAACGTAACAATCATCTTTTCTTAGTTTCTCTGCTTGAATGTAAACCTGCATCTTTATCAAGTTGTCCTCCTGGCGTCCTGACAGGTACTACAGGAACACACACGGAGTCATCATCGTTTACGACGTGACAAACCCCGACTCATTTGTGAATGTGAAGAGGTGGCTCAATGAAATCTCGGAGAACTGTGACAGTGTCTGCAAGATCCTGGGTAGGTGGGCTGCTCCACATGAAATGCTTTTTGATAACAGTGGTTAATGTGCAACACAGGAATGAGTCATGCACTTCCTAAAAATCATAAGCAGGCACTCACTGGTTTTGTTTCACACCAACTTTGTTGGTGTTAATCTTTTCCTGTGGAGACTGTACACGTCCATCCAGAGCAACAGGACTTAACACTTTTTATTCTTCAGTTGGAAACAAGAACGATGACCCCACCAAGAAAAAGGTGGATTCCCAGGATGCCATGCGTTTTGGGGAGACTGTGGGTGTGCGAGTCTTCGAGACGAGTGCCAAAGAAAACATAAATGTAGAAGAGGTGAGAGTTCATCCCTAGTACTAAAAAAACCACACGTAAATATGAGTGTGTCAGCTAATGTGTAAATATCTCTTTAACCACATAACAAACTCTTAGAAAGTGATCATTGGATGTTTATCAGTATGGCTGCCATAGTTAGTTATCAAACTGTTTTCTGAAGTAAATGTGAATTAAAAAAAGTTGTTTAAATAAAATGAAGGAATTGATCATTAAATATTTATACTTATGCATGGGGTTCGGGGGCCACGTGCCTATTGAGGACCACTGCAATAGACTGACAACAGTGCCCAAATTTATGCACCTGCCTAATTTTGTTTAAACAATTATTGAAAACTGTAAAACATAAACTTTTTTCACTTCTCAAATATCACTGTCTCTCATGATAAAAAGCTGTCAGCAGAACCATTGCATGCCCTTAAAAAAACAGAAAAAGCCTAAGTAGTTTGAGTAATGCAGAATTAAGTGAGAATCAAAAAGGTGCGTCAAAGAAATAAAATGAAAAGCCAAAATAAATCTTTTGTTTTATAAACTTTTACTTATGAATTAGTTTATTTTGTATGTAGTGATTTTTTTTCCTTTTAAAACTCACATTTGGTTTTGAAGTGTTCTTTATTGTTACTTTATTTTGGTATATTTTGTGTGAGACTGGTTTATTTTTATTTTTTATTTTTGCATGATCCTTTTGGCATAAAATGTATCTCATAGAGATTTCACATGATGTCATCAAGATTTGACTAAAGCAGCCAACTCCCAATCATTTCCCTACTTAAGGTAGTCCATCCATCCATCCATTTTCATCCGCTTATCTAGAGTCGGGTCATGGGGGCAGTAGCCTAAGGCAAGAGGCCCAGACTTCCCTCTCCCCAGCCACTTGGGTCAGCTCCTCAGGGGGAATCCCAAGTGTTCCCTGGCCAGGTGAGAGACATGGCCCCTCCACCTTGTCCTGGGTCTACCTTTAGGTCTCCTCCCGGTTGGACGTGCCCGGAAAACCTCACCAGGGAGGCGTCCAGGAGGCAACGTGACCAGATGCCCGAGCCACCTCAACTGGCTCCTCTCGATGTGGAGGAGCAGTGGGTCTACTCCGAGCCCCTCCTGAATGACCGAGCTTCTCACCCTATCTCTAAGGGAGAGCCCAGCCACTCTTCCCAGAAAACTCATTTCAGCCGCTTGTATCTGCAATCTCGTTCTTTCGGTCACTACCCAAAGCTCATGACCATAGGTGAGGGTAGGAACGTATATCGACCGGTAAATCGAGAGCTTCACCTTCTGACTCAACTCTCTTACCACAACAGACCGGTACAATGCCCGCATCACTGCAGATGTAGCAGCAATCCGCCTATCGATCTCACCATCCAGTTTTCCCTCACTCATGAACAAGACCCCGAGATACTTAAACTCCTCCACTTGGGCCAGGACCTCATCCCTGACCCGGAGAAGGCATTCTACCCTTTTCCGAATCAAGACCATGGTCTCCGATTTAGAGGAGCTGATTCTCATCCCAGCTGCTTCACACTCGGCTGCGAACTGCTCCAGTGAAAGCTGAAGATCGCGTTCTGATGAAGCCAACAGGACCACATCATCTGCAAAAAGCAGAGACCTGATCCTCAGGCCACCAAAACGGATGCCCTCCACACCTTGGCTGCGCCTAGAAATCCGTTCCATAAAGGTTATGAACAGAATCGGTGACAAAGGACAGCCTTGGCGGAGTCCAACTCTCACAGGCAAAGAGCCCGACTTACTGCCGGCAATGCGGACCAAGCTCTGACACCAGTCATACAGGGACCTAACAGCCCGTATCAGAGGGCCTGGTACCCCATACTCCCTGAGTACCCACGCCTGAGGGACGCGGTCAAATGCCTTCTCCAAATGCACAAAACACATGTAGATTGGTTGGGCAAATTCCCACGCACCCTCCAGGATCCCCCTAAGGGTATAGAGCTGAACCAGTGTTCCACGACCAGGACAAAAACCACATTGCTCCTCCTGAATCTGAGGTTCAACAATCCGACAGACCCTCCTCTCCAGAACCCCTGAATAGACCTTACCAGGAAGGCTCAGGAGTGTGATCCCCCTGTAGTTGGAATACACCCTGCGGTCCCCCTTTGTAAATAAGGGAACCACCACCCCGGTCTGCTAGTCCAGTGGGACGGCCCCCGATGTCCACGCAATATTGCAGAGTTGCGACAGCCAACACAGCCCCACAGCATCCAGAGCCTTAAGGAACTCTGGGCGGATCTCATCCACCCCTGGAGCCTTGCCACAGAGGAGCTTTTTAACCACCTCAGTGACCTCAGCACCAGAGATTTGAGAGGCACACCCAAAGTCCCCAGACTCTGCTTCCTCACTGGAAGACATGTTGGTGGGATTGAGGAGGTCTTCGAAGTATTCTGCCCACCAATCCACAACATCCTGAGTAGAGGTCAGCAGCACACCATCCCCACTATAGATAGTGTTAGCACACTGCTTTTCCCCCCTGAGGCGCCGGATAGTGGACCAGAATCTCCTCGAAGCCGTACGGAAGACTTGCTCCATGGTCTCACCGAATTCCTCCCATGCCCAGGATTTTGCCTTGGCGGCCAACCGAGCCGCGTTCCGCTTGGACTGCCGGTACCCGTCAGCTGTCTCTGGAGTCCCACAGGCCAAAAAGACCTGATAGGACTCTTTCTTCAGCTTGACAGCATCCCTAACTGCCGGTGTCCACCAGCGGGTTCAGGGGTTGCCACCACGACAGGCACAGACGATCCTGCGACCACAGCTCCGGTCTGCTGCCTCAACAATGGTGGCACGGAACAGGGTCCATTCAGACTCCCTCGCATTTTGGAAGCTCTGTCGGAGGTGGGAATTGAAGCTCCTTCTGACAGGAGACTCTGCCAGACGTTTGGGCCTGCCTGGTCTGACCGGCATCCTCCCCCATCATCTGAGCCAACTCACCACCAAGTAGTGGTCAGTTGACAGCTCCGTCCCTCTCTTCACCCGAATGTCCAAGACATGCAGCCACAGGTCAGATGAAACGACAAAGTCAGTCATCAAGCTGCGGCCTAAGGTATCCTGGTGCCAAGAGCACATATGGACACCTTTATGTCTGAACACGGTGTTCATTATGGACAATCGATGACTGGCACAGAAGTCCAATAACAAAACACCACTCGAATTCAGATCAGGGGTGCCGTTCCTCCCAACCACACCTCTCCAGGTCTCACTGTCGTTGCCCACATGAGCGTTAAAGTCCCCCAGCAGAACGAGGGAGTCACCGGAAGGAGCGCTTTCCAGCACCCCCTCCAAGGTCTCCAAAAAGGGTGGGCAGTTTGAACTGTAGTTTGGTGCATAAGCACAGACCACAGTAAGAACCCGTCCCCCACACGTAGGCGGAGGGAGGCTAACCTCTCATTTACTGGGGTAAACCCCAACCTACAGGCACCAAGATGGGGGCAACTAGTATGCCCACCCCTGTTCGGCGCCCCTCAGTGGGAGCAACTCCAGAGTGGTAGAAAGTCCAACCCCTCTCAAGGAAACTGGTTCCGGAGCCAGAGCCATGCGTTGAGGTGAGTCCGACTATATCTAGTCGGAATCTGTCAACCTCACACACCAACTCAGGCTCCTTCCCCACCAGAATTCCATGTGCCAAGAGGCAGCTTCTGTAGCCGAGGATCAAACTACTACTACTACTACTTATGGTAGTCTTTGTTTAAAATTCTGAAATGATTGGCTGGAGTGATTCAGCCTTTTCATTTAATCAAAGTCAATTGCATCTTACCTAAACAGTCTGAACTGCTGACCCATCTTTATTTCTTTGTATTTTGCTCCCCCCCCCCCCCCCCCCCCCCCATGCTTCTTAATCTTGTAACATATAGTTATTAATATAGCGGAGATACAAAAAATAAATGGTGGTTCTCTTGCATTTGTCTAAAAACCTCCGCCAATAGCGCGTTTCAGACCAAAAGTAACTATTGGACTGTCTTGTCAGTCTGGCTGAACCACCGCACTTCCCTGGATCCTCCCTTCAACACACACACACACACGACTGTATCAGGAGTTTAACAGCTTTGTGGATCTGTTTTACCTGGACTTTTAAATGGTTTTGATGTTTTTAAAATGTTGTGGAACAAAAACTGCTGCAGTCAAACATCTCTGTTAATGATTCATTTTTCCTTACCATCCCCCGTGTTCTGTTTCTTTGCTTAGATGTTCATGGCCTTCACCCGCATGGTTCTCCGGGCCAAGAAGCAAAGCCAGGACCGGGCCGAGAGGGAACGGGAGCGGGAGAAAGACACGGTCAACATCAATGCTCATCGAGACCGCGACCGCAGGAAGAGAGGGAAGAAATGCTGCTGAGATCCCAAACTGCACTGGATTGATTAGGATCACACGAGGGATGTTCTGGATCTCAGGAGTTCTGAAACATGAGGGAATTCCAGCACTGACCACACACAGCAGACTGGAGGAGTTAAAGGATCATTCTGGGGTTTTCATGCTTACTGAACTCCTCCCAGGTTCTAGTGAAAGGTCTGAAGATACAGATGTTACTTACACACGGGTTCCCGGTAGCTCTCGTGGTATCTGCTCATGAGGAAACCTGAGATTTTAGTGTTGGTGCAAAACTTCCAAGTTATTAAAAATCCAAACAGAAGCAGGCTTCGTTAAAGAACCCTGTGGATAATTGTTCTGGACTCTACGAGGTCCAGTTCCACTGAACACAGATGTTCAGACCTTTATATAAAATCTGCATCGTTTTAACCCGACTTCAGATTAAGCTGTGTGAAGTTTGGTCTCTGTTCAGAGGTTTGTTGCAGTGAATACAAACTTAAAAGTACTTTCACCTAACCGGAAGCTTTTTGATCCATTTCTTAGGAAACCGATCAGCGTGAAACTTCCTGGTGAGATTAACTAGAGTAATAAAACAACTTCCCCACGTCCAGGAGCAGCTGGATTATTGGGTTGTTTCCGGGTGACCGTTCTAATGTTTGTGCTTTTGCCTCTGAGGTTTTGACAGAAACATGTAAAGCCACCAGTTGTTCCTTTAACTTCACTCTAAGACCTGTTTGTTTTTCTAATCCCAGAATGACTATTAAACTCCCAAGAGAAGCCTGTGATACTAAATCTGAATGTTTAAAGGAGTTCAAACGTCATGCTGTCTTAATTCTGTCTAAATGAGACCTTTAACTCAGACTAGTGAGCTCTAAATGTTTATTTAAACGTCTGTTTGATTAAACGTGTTCCAAATAAAGCAATAGATTAAATGGTTGTTTCTCTGAGTGCAGATGGAAAATGCATCTAAATATTCAATAAAACGATTTTTTAAGATGTGCAATTTTCTGGATATTCATTTTAAAACTTGAAACTGCTGCTTGATGGCTTATGTAATTTCTTTGGTTATTTCCGTTTGCTTAAAGACGTTTCGGTGAGAGCAGCAGTACATCTTGGTATTTGGAGGAATTACAGGATTAGTTTATTTTACTGGATAGAGAAGTGAATGATGGTCAGAATGTCCCACAAATACAAAAATATTACAAAACACCGAGTTGACCGCTTTATTTGTTTTTTAATAATTCTGAGGATCTGGTTTCCTTTATTACAATGTGAATATATCAAACTGCTGTGGATGAACTGGGTCCTGTTTTTAACCTGTGTGAACATTTCCAAGTCTCTTCGTTTTGATGAATGACTCCAAAGTTGGAACGTAACACCAAGAAAACATCAGAGGCGAGACAGAAAATATAATTCTCTGTTCCAGCTCAGTGCTGCTTCCTCCTGCAGCAACATCACTGCTGTGACTCATGTTGCACTCAAAACCATAAAAAAACAAGACTTTCAGTAGAAACTTCATGAACCTGCAGGACCAATTTTAGCTGCCGGCATCATTTTACAGACGTCTCTGATCGTGAGAAAAAGCACTTGAATGCCACACCAACTCCATCAGTTGGACTTCGGGAGTCTGTAGATGCCTGTAGACACAATCAGCTGATGCTCTCTGACCTTCTTTTGAAGGAAGGCCTCCAACTCGTTGATATCCATCTCCGTGACGACAGGTCCCGAGGCGACGAACATCCTCAGCATAGAGTGTATTCGGTCCAGGGTCATGCTGTCCAGGTTGGTGAGCATGGCCTGGATGTAGGCCCAGAACAGCTGCAGACAAACAGAACCAGTCAGAGTATCAGAACCTCAGCATACAGATGTCTGTAGCTCTGGCTTAAAGTTTGATCCTTTTAAGAGCAGTCAAACCGCCTTTCAATATTTTAAACATGGCCTGGATCTGTTGTTCTCCAGCTGCTTTGGCTGCTTTTTGTCTTTGCAGTGGTCTCTAGTAGGAATGAATGCCTTCCAAGTTGTTCTCTGGAGAAAAACGCTCCGGTGTGCCTCTTTGAGGACGTAGAAGTCAGCTTAAAGAGCAAGTAACGCCTAAATTAACGTTTTTTTGCTGCTAACCTGTATAGATGTGTCTAATGGTGCTGTGTACACATGTGTAATCAGTGTGGCAGTTTGGTGCAACTTATTTTAAATGTAATATTTCAGCCCAAAACCATAATTCTATCTCCATCTTCAGGTTAAAACTGCTCCACATTTGTGTAGAACCAGCTGTGGCTGATGGCTAAGCTGAAAAACGTGACGTCAGCAAATTACTACGTGGCTGCACCGGTGAGGCAGCCGCACCTCCACCTGGCTCAGCCTCTGAGCCGCTCACCTCCTTGAAGAAAATGCCCTCCTCCCCTTTTCATCTAATGATGGCGGTTAACATGCTGCAGAATCTGTCTGCTTTTCTCCTGAGGGGTAAGTCCTGTGTGAGTGTGTGCTTGCGTGCACGCGCTTGCTAACAGCTAGTTTTTTTTTTCTTTTTATTGAAAGTTTTGTTAAGGTACATAAAACATATACCAACAATAACAATAACAGTTGGCACAGTGGAACCGTCAGGTCCGCCCTGTTCCGGGCAAGCCATCCTCTCTTCTCTTCAGAGTCCCATGACCTCTGGTTTTGTCCATACAGGTGCTGGCCAGTAAATTAGAATATCATCAAAAGGTTGAAAATATTTCAGTAATTCCATTCAAAACGTGAAACTTGTACATTATATTCATGCAATGCACACAGACCAATGTATTTCCAATGTTCATTACATTTAAATTTGATATTCATAAGTGACAACTAATGAAAACTCCAAATTTGGTATCTCAAAAAATTAGAATATTCTGAAAAGGCTGAATATAGAAGACACCTGCTGCCACTCTAATCAGCTGATTTACTCAAAACACCTGCAAAGGCCTTTAAAAGGTCCCTCAGTCTTGTTTTGAAGGCACCACAATCATGGGGAAGACTACTGACTTAACAGCTGTCCAAAAGACAATCATTGACACCTTGCACAAGGAGGGCAAGACACAAAAGGTGATTGCTAAAGAAGCTGGCTGTTCGCAGAGCTCTGTGTCCAAGCACATTAACAGACAGGCGAAGGGACGGAAAAAATGTGGTAGAAAAAAGTGTACAAGCTCTAGGGATAACCGCACCCTGCAGAGAATTGTGACGACAAACCCATTCAAAAATGTGGGGGAGATCCACAAAGAGTGGACTGCAGCTGGAGTCAGCGCTTCAAGAACCACCACGAGGAGACTCATGAAAGACATGGGATTCAGGTGTCGCATTCCGTGTGTCAAGCCACTCTTGAACAAGAAACAGCGCAAGAAGCGTCTCGCCTGGGCCAAGGACAAAAAGGACTGGACTGATGCTGAGTGATCCAAAGTTATGTTTTCTGATGAAAGCAAGTTCTGCATTTCCTTTGGAAATCAAGGACCCAGAGTCTGGAGGAAGAGCGGAGAAGCACAGAATCCACGTTGCATGAGGTCCAGTGTAAAGTTTCCACCGTCAGTGATGGTGTGGGGTGCCATGTCATCTGCCGGTGTTGGCCCACTCTGTTTCCTGAGGTCCAGGGTCAATGCAGCCGTCTACCAGGAAGTTTTAGAGCACTTCATGCTTCCTGCTGCTGACCAACTTTATGGGGATGCAGACTTCACCTTTCAACAGGACTTGGCACCTGCACACAGTGCCAAAACCACCAGCACCTGGTTCAAGGACCATGGTATCCCTGTCCTTGATTGGCCAGCAAACTCGCCTGACCTTAACCCCATAGAAAATCTATGGGGTATTGTGAAGCGGAGGATGCAATACGCTAGACCCAACAATGCAGAGGAGCTGAAGACGACTATCAGAGCAACCTGGGCTCTCATAACACCTGAGCAGTGCCACAGACTGATCGAGTCCATGCCACGCCGCATTACTGCAGTTATTGAGGCAAAAGGAGCCCCGACTAAGTATTGAGTGCTATACATGCACATTCTTTTCATGTTCATTCTTTTCAGTTGGCCAACATTAGAGAAACAAACATTTTTTCATTGGCCTTTAGAATATTCTAATTTTCTGAGATACCAGATTTGATGTTTTCATTGGTTGTCACCTATAAATATCAAAATTAAACGTAATAAACATCGGAAATACATTGGTCTGTGTGCATTGCATGAATATAATGTACAAGTTTCACGTTTTGAATGGAATTACTGAAATATTTTCAACCTTTTGATGATATTCTAATTTACTGGCCAGCACCTGTATGTCGGGGTCTATGTAGCCCTTAATGTTCCACCTCTGACGTTCTTACCGGGTGTTTCCAGTCCATTATAAAGTGTTCGTATCCACAACAGGCTCTTCCACATCCAGTAAACATATGCGAGTAGGCTAAATCTTAGTTATACAACCTGCCCTCCATCATTGCGTGCTGTTGCTGTGAGTAAATCTCTCCCATTTCTCCCAATTCTTATGAAAACGATCTAATTTAAGGTTCAAAAGGGCTGTCAGTTTTTCCATCTTATATATTTCCTCGATTATTCCCTGCCAGTCTTTACTTGTTGGGGCATTCTTCTCTAGCCATTTCCTGGTAAGCGCTTTTTTGCCTGCTGCCAACATGATATTCATTAAATATTTGTCTCTTGTGGGGACTACTGATGGGATATCACCCAGGTAAACAGTACAGAAATCCTTAACTACCTCACAACCCGTCACGACTGTCATTGTGTCGACCATCTCCCTCCAATATGGCTGAATTACCGGGCATTTCCAAAAAATATGGAAGTGGTCTGCCATGTTTTCCCCACATTGTCTCCAGCAATGTCCTTCTCTCTGTTGGCCTCTCTGTTTGCATTTTATTTTAGGGGTTATAAAGAACCTGATAAAAATTTTCCAAGTGAATTCCCTCCAGTAACCCGAACTGGTAGTTTTCCTCTGTGTTTCACATATAGTTGCCCAGCTTTCATCCGATATGGTGATTTGTGCTTCCCTTTCCCATTTATTTTTTATATAATTAGTTGATTGGTCTTTGAGTGATTGTAGATTCTGATAAAGTTTAGTAATTTGTTTGTTTTTAATCTTACTTTGATATGCCTCTTTTATAAGGGAAACTAGGCCGTCCCTCTGTTCTTCCGTGTTTATGTTACTGTTGTAATAAGACCTGACCAGGAGATATCTAAAAAAATCCAGGTTTTCCAAACCATATTTGTCCCTTAATTTGTCAAAACTATGTAGTCCATCCCTCCCTGCTATTGAGCAAAATGGTCCGATCCCTTTTGTCGACCATGCCACGTAGCGGCCATCTATTTGTGCCGGGGAGAATTCCCTATCGCTTGTGACCCATCTAAGTTGTTTTATGTTGGTTTCTGATTTATGTTTCTCACATTCGTCAAACCATATCTTTAAAGGTGTTTTAGTCCATTCATTTAACATTTTTTTCTTTTCCAGATATAATTTTTTATCTCCTAATATTGTCTGTAGTGGTCATTTTAATTGTGTCATATCTAAATCTTTCCATTTTGCCTCATACAATGGGTCACAACAATAGAGTAAATATCTTAATTGTGCTGCTATAAAATAACTTTCTAAGTTTGGGAGGGAAAGTCCACCCTTCTCCCTAGGCAGTTGTAGTGTTGTGTATTTAACTCTAGGTTTGCGGCCCTTCCATATAAATCCCGAGAGCATTCTGTTCCACAGTGCAAATTGTTTAGCTTGTATATGAACCAGTATAGATTGAAAGAGGAAAAGAAGTCGAGGCAATATATTCATTTTGATCATGTCGATTCTATTATATAAGTCAAGTGGCAGTATGCTCCATCTTTTGATGTTTTCTTTTAGCTCCCTTGTAATTGGCGAGTAATTTATTTCATAGATGTCTGTCAGTGTTTTGGGGATCTTAATACCAAGATATGTAATTATTTCATTGTTCCAATTAAATCTGGATATGTTTTTGATCCTTGCCGTAGGTGTGTAATTATATGTAATCACTTGAGTTTTTTGGATGTTTATTTTATATCCAGAGAGTTCGCCAAACATTTCCATCTTTGTCAATAGATTGGGCAGACTTTTTTCTGGGTCCCCGAGAGTCAGTAGAACATCGTCTGCGTAGAGACCTATCTTGTATTCTGTCCTCCCTATCCTCATCCCCCTAATTTGGTTGTCCTCCCTAATGGCTTGTGCTAGTGGTTCAATAAATAAGGCGAATAAGGCTGGGCTGAGCGGGCATCCCTGTCGACAACCTCTTTCCAGTCCTACCGCTTCAGTTAAACTCCCATTTATTTTTATTCTCGCTGAGGGTTGATAGTATAGGTTCCTAATCATCTGAATGAAAGAATCTACGAACCCAAATCGTTCCATAGCCAGAAAAAGGTATTCCCATCGGACAGAATCAAAGGCTTTTTCCGCATCCAGGCTCAGGACAACTGACTTGCTTGGGGTTTTATTCATATAATCTAATATATGTAGGGTTCGTCTTACGCTGTCTTGAATCTGTCTGTTCTTGAGAAATCCTGTCTGATCCTCATCAATAATTTCAGGTATTATATTTTTGAGTCTGTCTGCTATTATCGAGGTGAAAAGTCTATAATCCATATTTAAAATTGAAATTGGTCGATATGAGCTGCAGTGCCTTCTGTCCTTACCCCCCTTCGGGATCACTGAAATTACTGCCTGTCTCCAGGATGGTGGTGGCTCCCCTCCCTCTAAAACTTAGTTGAAACAGTTCAATAATAGTGGTGAGAGCAGATCTCTAAAGATTTTGTAATATTCTGATGTATAACCATCCGTACCCGGCATTTTATTTGTTTTTGTCTTTGCAATGGCTTTATCCAGTTCTTGTTTAGTAATCTGTTGCATTAGTTTTTTATTTTGTTCCCTCCCAATGTTAGGTAGGTCCAAAGAATGTAAAAATTTCTTAATATGAAGAGGGTCGACCTCTCGGGTCTGCGAGTATAGTGTTTTGTAATAGTTTACAAATGAGTTTTGTATCTCTTTAGCAGTATAACACAGCATTTGAGTCTCTTCATCTTTAATACAATAAATTCCTCTTTCTTCTTTCTGTTTTTTAGTTCTCCAAGCCAATAATTTCTTTGCCCTAGGGCCATAATCATAGTATTTTTGCTTGACAAATCTAGCTTTTAATTCCTCCTGTCTGTCATATATATCATTTAATTCCCGTGTTGTTAAATTAATCTCTTCCAATATTCGTAGATCCTTAACGGTGGCGTGCTTAGTCTCTAAGTTCTTTAATTTGGCTAATAACTCATTTGTTTATGTTTCTCTTTCTTTTTGTTCGAGGACCACATGATCAATTTTCCTCTTATTACTGCCTTCGATGCATCCCATACAATACTAGGGGATACCTCTTCATTATTATTTAGTTCACAATAGCTTTTATACTCGTCATTTATGAATTGTATACATTGGGGATCATTTAACAAGCTTGTGTTCAACTTCCAGCTAGTTTGTTTTATTTCAGTCTCTAGATGTATAGATAGGTAGATCCCTGCGTGGTCTGATATATCTCTTACTCCTATTTTACATCTGAGGATTCTATGTCTATCGGTGTTAGTCATAAAGAAATAATCCAATCTGGAGTACTTTCTATGGGGAAATGAGAAAAAAGTGTAACTCCTTTCCTTGGGATGCAGCTCCCTCCAGACATCTATCATGTTTCCTTCTTGAAGAAGTTTTTTAACTGTTTTTGTTTCCGGATTCATCCTTTTAGTCTTATTGTTGGTGTCTAAATGGGGCTGTAGTTGTACGTTCCAATCCCCCCCACAGATTAGGGTTCCTTTAGTGTATTCCTCCATCAGATTAAATAATCTCTTAATAAATTCTTGATCATTGCCTGGCGGCCTGTAAACATTTAGTAGAGTCACTGGTTTATGATCAATTTGCCCCACTACCATAACATATCGCCCTTTTCTGTCCCCTATTTGTTGAGTTAACTGAAAGTTAGTCTTATTTCCAATCAATATTGCCACTCCCCTTGCACGTCTCTGTCCATATGATGAGTAGTATATTTGTTTGAACCCCAAACATTTTAATTTCTCATGTTCCTTATTGTTTAGGTGTGTCTCCTGCCAAAAAACTATATCTTGTTTTTCCCTTCTCATCTTAGTAGCCACTTTTTCCTCTTAATGGGGTTATGGAGCCCGTTGACGTTTAATGATACAATGTTATATTCCTGAAATGACATGGTGTTCTCTTAAAACAACATTTACAAAATAGGCTCTCCCTGCACTGATCAACCCGACCCGTAAAAAAACAACAACAACCTGTGCCATAACGAACAACAACTAAACATACATTTGAACATGACTTCCATGAAAGAAGTAAGAAATTCACTTCTAAAACTATGAGGGGAATTCTCTCTGTAGAGGGCCCCTCAAGGGAGTGTGACGTCTGCTCTGGTACCATCCTGTCTCCCTGTAGATGGCGACAATGCACTCTCTTCTTCTCCGTCCAGCGGTCCAATTATTAATTTTTGTCAAACCACAGCTGTCTACTGATAAGTGAACACGATTACAATCCTAGTCTGCATCTTAAAATTAAATATTATTTATCTTCACTCCCTCAAACAGTGTTTCTTTGCCTATGTTAATCAACCTTAAACGGAATGTTTACTCACAACCTCTTAACCAGTTTCAGTCTCTCAGTTGGGATGGGTGGTGAAAACGTGTACGTTTTTCCCGAGCCCCCTGAACATCCACGCCTCTTCCCCGTCCTCGCTCTCGTCCGCTGACCGTCCACGAATTGTCTTTTGGCTTGGCTGGAGTTCCGTTCGTCCCTTGAGCTGGTCCCCTGCTGGACGGTTCTCCAGATCCCTCATCTTCTCCTCCTTTCAGCAGGCCCTTCCTCTGAAGATCTAGCTTTGCTGATGTCACATTCGTGTAGGTAACTGGACCATCTTTGTAGAAGACACGGAGCCTTGCTGGGGCGGGTGTCTGGAATCTTATGCCTTTTTCTTTCAGTATTTTTCGTAACGGGGCATATTCTTTTCGTTTCTGGATGATTTCTATCGGGTAGTCATGATCCATGTAAATCCGATGTCCTTCTATTCGTATATCTTTCTTCAACCATGCCTTCTTCAGCACTTGCTCTTTAATGTTATATTCAAGGAAACACACAATCATGGATCTGGGGGGCACGTGTGCAGGAGGCTTCTGCCCGAGTGATCTGTGGCATCGTTGTATCCCCAACTCTGCATTCTGCATACCTAGTTCAGTCTTTAAGAGCTTCTCCACATATTCAGTCGGGTTGTCAGCTTCCCGGTCCTCTGGTATTCCAAATATACGAAGGTTGTTCCTCCGTGACCGGGTCTCCAGATCAGTTAGCTTGGCCAGCATTCGCTGTTGTTCCTCTACGGTCCGAAGGAGCACATCTTTAGCATTAGCGCTCCACTCTTCCACCTCTCCCACTCTTTGCTCCATTTCTTCCACTCTCGTCTCCGCGCTTTTTAAGTTGGCCCCCACCTCATCCATCTTCTTGTTGATCTCGTCCTTAAAACTCCCCAGCTCTTGCTTCATGTCAACTCTCATCGTCTCCCAAGCTTCGCTGAAGTGTTTTTTCATATCTACGTGGCTAGCCATGATTTCCTCCCGGATAGCCTCCATGCTAGCTTGAAGCGTGGCCATCGTGTTTTGGGCGTCTTCATTCCCTTCCCTCGTCGCCATTCCGTCCTTCTCTTCGTCGGTTTTCCTTTCTGTGGTTTGTATCTTTTTAGTTTTGTATTTCCCCATATATATTTATCGAAGTCTGATGTTATCCGTAGTTGAAAAAATGGGGAAATGCTGGACCCTCGCTGAGCTCCTGACTATGCTTCCACTCGCTTCGCCGCCATACCCGGAAGTCTCGCTAACAGCTAGTTTTAAGATTGAGAATCTCCGACAGCACACGCGAGGGTTGAGGGGGGTGCGGTCTACCACAGCCTCAGTGTGGCTTTCAGAAGCGTTTTCCTAACAGGAAGTGTGGATGAAATATGTCCCCACCCAAGTCTTGACCCTCACTTTAAGGAGAAAATAGCTTCAGACGACAGGATTTAGAGTCTTATTTACTGATATTTAAACATCTCACCTCTGATTGGCTAACAGCATGACTCTACTACTGAATCTGTTTGCTCTGCAACACTGAGGCCTTACCTTCACATATAACACAAGCCTGGAGGAGTTCTGATGTGTGGTGGAGTTGCTAACACTAATGGTTAGCTTCTACTAGCCGGGGCATTCTCTGCTGTTTCCTGGACGCTAAACCTGCTAAGCAACAGCCTTCCCACTACAAGCCAAGATGGGCAAGTCCATGAATGTTAGGTGTCAGTGTGATGTAGATCTGTCAGGGTGTGTGTTTTCATCATCATGGAAGGTTTGAGCTATTGCGGATCATAGGGGTTTCAGCTTTCAGTGAACCTGCTTAAACAGAAATCCTGAAAGTTAAAAATTAGAGCGGGAAGAAGAAGAAAAAAATCAAGAAGAGAGAGAGAGAACAGATGTGAATGAGAAAAAATGAAATGGAAGGATCAGAAAACCTAGAAGAGGCAAAGAAGAGATAAAAGGCAGGAAAATGTTGGGAAAAATAAGTGAATAAAAAGAAGAAGCAGGTAGAAGCAGACCTGCAGCTTCTCCTCTCTCTGTTCAGACTGGGTGGTGGTGTTGGAGTCTCTCTCCTCGTCGCTGTCGATCAGCATCACGCCTCGGTCCAGTTTCTCTCTAGATGAGCGGGTCTCCAGGACACAGTACCGCCCTCCTGCTTCCTCCTTCAGAACTCCATGCTGCTGCCACATGGCCAGCTTCCTGTGGACCAGCTCCTTCGGGGCGCCCAGCTTCACACTCAGCTCCTCCAGGGTCCAAGAGCCTAACGGGAGACAAAAGGACTAATTCAGTGACGGGATTTAGCATCCGGAGGACGAGGTGACCATGGAGAAACCAGAACCAGAGAACGGGTTTTAGGCTCAAATGTAACAAAAGGAAACATTAGCTGAGCGGGGAATTTAAAACCCTACTTTTCTCCTGGAAGTGCAAGATGATGGCCGCGTGGATCGGCGACACCGTGAGGTGGGATAGGACCCGGTCCTCCAGCTCCACATCCAGAGTGACAGAACCGAGGTGAGGCTTCCAGCTCAGAGTCCTCATGGCCTGAAATCACAGACGACCAACATAAAACCCGACCACAGACTTCCTAAATCCTCCAGGAACAGGAATATAACAGGAGTGGAATTTAAACCGAAAACCTGCTGGCGAACGCACCTTGAGCTTCTCGTAGCTGTGTGTGTACGCCTCCATGGCCTGACAGACGACAGCAGGGAGCTCCAGCTTCTCCTCCTTCAGCGTTGGCCAGAACTCTGACGACAGGATGATGGCTGACAGACTGAGCGGCAGCTGCTCCTCTTCGCTCAGCCTCGACTCTTCTTCACGGATGTGACTGTTGATCCTACGAGAGTCAGCCATGTCCTGCAGCATCACAACGGAGACACTGAGACACCAGGGCGAGCTGTCACCGTGAGAATAAAAACTGCCGTCTGGTTACCTTCAGCATGACTTCGCAGAGGTGCATGTGGGACTCTCCGAACCGCAGCTTCAGCAGCTCCACGTTACGGATCTCCCTGGAAAAATGTCCCACAGAGATGGAAAGTTCAGAGGTTAGAGGTCTGGCTGTTGTCCAAAGGGTAAAAACAGTTCAGAGGCAAAGGTTTGGGACAGCGTCCCTCAGGTAGAACATTAAGGCTGTGTGTCGGGCGGTACCGGGCGGTGTTGTAATTGAGTTGGTGCAGCAGCCGGTCAGCCAGCACGGCTCGGTACTCATCGATGAAGATGTCCTTACTGCCGTAGATGCTGACTAGCAGGCTGATGATGTCAGATGAGCGACGATTCGAACCCATCTTATCTAAAAACAGAGAAAACGTGTGTGAAGTGGACACGCGCACACACGTGCACACATTGGCACGATGATTTCACTGACCGTGCACAGCATCGGTCGGGTCTGGAGTCCAGTCTTCAGGGTCGTTGCCGTCATCATCGCTGTCCTGCATCTCCAGAGTGACGGGGTCTCCTCGGGACAGCTCGGAGGCCAGATCGGCGCAGCCTTCAGCGTCTCCTGTGAGCCCCGCAACGATCTGTCTCACCGTGTCGTCTCGAGTCCTGAAACACCACGAAGAAATGCAGCAGCTTCCTCATTTCACCGCATCCACAATTCAATAGCTTCTAGTAAACTCTGGTTCCTGTTGTCAGAGATGATGTAGGCGCTGGTGGATCGTAGGAATGTGTTTATGAACAATCTGAGAGTCAGAACTTTCTGAACATCGTCTGGGAACTTCTAAAACGATGGAACAAACTATCATTAAACAGTGATAAATCATGTTTTATGATATTCAAATGATAAAATGTTATTAAATATAGATGAGATTAATATTAAAAGAGTTAAAGTAGTCAAGTATCTGGGAGTCATCATTGATGAAATAATGTCTTGGAAGCTGCATATAAACAGTGTCAAAACTAAAATATCTAAAACTATTGCACTGTTACATAGAGCAAAATGGTTACTTGATAATAATTCCCTATATTTGTCATATAACTCACTGATCGTACCGTACCTGAACTACTGCATTGAAATCTGGGGAACAACATATAAAACTTACACAAATTCCATTTACATCTTACAGAAAACAGCAATAAGAATAATCACAAGGGGCAACTACAGAGATCCGTCCAACCCATTATTTATAAAATTAAAAACACTAAAATTCTATGATCTGGTGGACTACAATATTTAAAATTGATGTATAATGCAAACAGAGGTTACGCACCTGCAGGTTTAATCAAAAGATTAACAAAGAGACATAGTAAATATGATTTAAAAGGACATGAATTATTTAATATACCTACACATAGGATACCCATAAAGGAACATTGTGTGTCCATATATGGAGTTAAAATGTGGAATAAATTAAATACTGAAATCAAGAATGCAAAAACAATATTGACTTTCAAAAAAAAGAGATAAAAAATGAAATGATTAACTTTTATAGATCTGTTACATAAACGCGTGAGGGGAGGGGGGATGGGGGGGTGAAAGAAAAAAAGGGAAAAGGAAACAAGTCTGTGTATGCATATGTGTATATATGTGTATATAATATGTAGGTATATATGTGTACATATGTATGTATTATGTGTACATATGTATGTATATATGTGTATATATGTATGTATATATGTAGGTATATAAGTGTATATATGTAGGTATATATGCGTATATATGTAGGTATATATGCGTATATATGTAGGTATATATGCGTATATATGTAGGTATATATGTGTACATATTTAGGTATATATGTGTACATATTTAGGTATATATGTGTACATATGTATGTATATATGTGTACATATGTATGTATATATGTAGGTATATATGTGTATATATGTAGGTATGTATGTGTATATATGTAGGTATGTATGTGTATATATGTATGTGTATATATGTATATATGTATGTGTATATATGTATGTATATATGTATGTGTATATATGTAGGTATATATGTATGTGTATACCGTAAATCCTCTAATACAGGCCGGTATTCAATTAAAGGTCGGGTCTCCAATTTTGGCCGGTGTCGGAGTCGGCGGAGGTGAATAATGGCCGGTCTCTTATTGTGGCCAGGTGGAATGTGGTAACAAGCAAGTACGGGGGGCGGTTGTGTCATCATCTCACTTTTGATTTGCCAGTGATAGACCGCGAGGGTTACTTTAACCGTGCGGAAATGAAGAGGAGGCGAAAATTTGATATCAAGTTCAAAGAGAACGTGCGCTGCAGAACACTGGGGAGCACTAGGGGTTGTATGAACTAGTCTACTTCACTATAGTGACTTTTTATGCCTGTCGTCGACTAGTCGCTGTCACGTGATAATGACCGGCAAGATGCAGCCCTCGGAAAAGACAGCAGCCTGCTATCAGCAGGTGACAAGCTCCTGCGCTCGGGGGGGGGGGCAACGAGCTGTGCCAGAGCGTCGGTACTGACACGCGATCGTTCATGTCGGTTCATTTCCTTTAATGTTTTCTGTCTTTTATTTGCGCCTGATGTGTTTCGCTGCTGTGGAGCAGGGCACATCACCTTGTCCTCTGACGCACCGATCACTGATGCGGCCGCCAAGCAGGGAGCGCTCCGCTGTTTTTGAGGTCGGTAATCTGCCTCCTGAGCACAGCCACAGTAACAATCAGGTGTTGCCAAATTATTTAACACGCGATCGTTCATGTCGGTTCATTTCCTTTGATGTTTTCTGTCTTTTATTTGCGCCTGATGCGTTTCGCTGTGGAGCGGGGCGCATCAACTTGTCATCCGGTGACGCACCGATCACTGATGCGGCCGGCAAGCAGCGAGCACTCCACTGTTTTTGCGGTCGGTAGATCTTTTAGAACTGCAGTTCAAAGGTAACTCATAAGGTGAATATATATGAACCCAGGTAGCAGTTTCTCTTTAGGATTGAGAGGAGATGCAGGAAGATAATAAACAGGCAGGACAAAAAAATAGTCAAATAAAAACAAGTTAGTTTTTGTACCTGGTGGTTGCAACAAACAGACACCATTGAAGGTAATCAGAAGTGAGGAACAGAAAATGAATTAATTATTTTAATGTTTAGAGCAGCAGGAACTCCGAGAGGCTGCAGGCGCATCAGTGAGTTTGCAGCCGCTGCGCAGGGGGAGGGGGGAGAGGGCTGAAGCAGAAACTACCGTTGTTAAAAGAAATGTGTTTAACTTTGAAAACGTGGGCACAATATTAATTGTCAAATACTCCAACGAACCATTAGTTCATTTTGCTCAAATAGAAATAGAGGCCTGCCTCTAATACTGGCCCTCCTTCCAACAAAGGCCTGGAGCTTGATGAGCTTGAGTCAAATACAGGCCCGGGCCTGTATTAGAGGATTTACGGTATATATGGGTATATGTGTAGGTATATATGTGTATATATGTATGTATATATGTAAGTATATATGTAGGTATATATGTATATATGTAGGTATATATGTGTATATATGTAGGTATATATGTGTATATATGTAGGTATATATAGGTATATATGTGTATATATGTATGAATATATGTGTATATATATGTATGTGTATATATATGTATGTGTATATATGTACTGTAAGTATATATGTGTATATATGTAGGTATGTAAGTCTATATGTGTATATATGTAGGTGTATATGTGTATATATGTAGGTGTATATGTGTATATATGTAAGTATATATGTGTATATATGCAAGTATATATGTGTATATATGTAAGGTGTATATGTGTATATATGTAAGTATATATGTGTATACATGTAGGTATATATGTGTATATATGTAAGTCTATATGTGTATACATGTAAGTATATATGTGTATATATGTAAGTATATATGTGTATATATGTAAGCATATATGTGTATATATGTAGGTATATATGTGTATATATGTAAGTATATATGTAGGTATATATGTGTATATATGTAAGTATATATGTAGGTATATATGTGTATATATGTAGGTGTATATAAGTAAGTCTATATGTGTATATATGTAGGGTTATATGTGCATATATGTAGGTGTATATGTGTATATATGTAAGTATATATGTGTATATATGTAGGTGTATATGTGTATATATGTAAGTATATATGTGTATACATGTAGGTATATATGTGTATATATGTAAGTCTATATGTGTATACATGTAAGTATATATGTAGGTATATATGTGTATATATGTAGGTATATATGTGTATATATGTAGGTATATATGTGTATATATGTAGGTATATATGTGTACATATGTAGGTATATATGTGTATATATGTAGGTATATATGTGTTTATATGTAGGTATATATGTGTATATGTAGGTATATATGTGTATATATGTATGTATATATGTGTATATATATGTATGTGTATATATATGTATGTGTATATATGTACTGTAAGTATATATGTGTATATATGTAGGTGTATATATGTAAGTATATATGTGTATATATGTAGGTATATATGTAAGTCTATATGTGTATATATGTAGGTGTATATGTGTATATATGTAGGTGTATATGTGTATATATGTAAGTATATATGTGTATATATGTAAGTATATATGTGTATATATGTAGGTGTATATGTGTATATATGTAGGTATATATGTTTATATATGTAAGTCTATATGTGTATACATGTAAGTATATATATATGTGTATATATGTAAGTATATATGTGTATATATGTAAGTATATATGTAGGTATATATGTGTATATATGTAAGTATATATGTAGGTATATACGTGTATATATGTAAGTATATATGTAGGTATATATGTGTATATATGTAAGTATATATGTAGGTATATATGTGTATATATGTAAGTATATATGTGTATATATGTAAGTATATATGTAGGTATATATGCGTATAACTTTGTGCTTCTTTCTGTGCAACTTGTTTTTTCTCTTTTTTTTTCGGTTCATGGGTTGAGGTTGTGTCGGCCAACCAGTCCAGAAACTATATTGTTCATATTTTTTTAAGAATCATATGATTGTTTCATTTGTATTATTGCTATTTTAGTTAAAAGGGGCAGATAACATACGTTTTTCTTCTTTCTGTCCCCTTTTTCATTTTGGCTTTTAGCAATTTAGTTTTGTATTTTTATTTTAATGTCAATAAATGAAAATATAGTTGAAAAAAAAACCTCCAAAGTGTAAATTAAAATGTGAATCAGAAGAACACAGTGGGTGTAGTGAAAAAAAAAAAGACTTTTATTAAAGAACGAACAATTTATAACAAGATCTGTGTTGTTCTATCAGAAGTATTTCATCAGAAGGTTGAACTGTTCCAAGTGGTGATGGTAGACTAAAGCAGCGCTGGAAGAACCGGACCTACCTGAGGTATTTACGGATGGGCTGGCAGGCCACCTGCAGGATCACCATGGACGGGTCCAGCTCTCGGAGAGCTTTGATGGCTGAGATGTAAACGGTGAGAATGTCGGCCGTGTGAACGCCTGGAAGAACAAACAGATTCCACATAAAACACGTGGGCTTGATAAAAAGGAAACGTTTCTCTGACGGGAACAAAGAAATGCTTTTAGCTCTCCACTTGTTTGTTAATAAACAGCCAGTTTTAGAAATCTAAACCGGTCAGTTTTTTACCTTCTATTCAGAAAAGCTTCTTTTTCAGCATTTTAATGCCTTTTATTTTTTACCACTTTGGTTTTGGTGCATTTTTAGTCTTTTATTTTAACCCAACGTGAACTTTGCAGTTTGATCTCAGAGTTCAGTCGATGTCCTTCACACTGACACAGACCTGGGTGCAGCAGGCGGCTTTCAAAGGCTGATTTCAACGACACGAGGAGCTGCTGCCTCTGGTTGGTTCGCTCCAAGCAGAACTTCAGATCCTCGATGGCAGCTTTAGATTCCGGAAAATCTGGGAAACAGAAACCAAGGAGAGAACATGATTTACCACAGGGGAATAAATCTGACCCGTTTCCAGCCTGAGGTCAGCTTTGATGACAGAACTTTACTGAATCTTTGGGTTGTTTCTATTAAACAGAAAAGGACAGAGAAATGAAAATTTTCAGACACAAACAATAAATAAAAACAAACTCCTGGTTTAGTTTAAAACCCGAGACACAGACAGAGAACGATCATCGTCTCAGAACCAGTTTTAGGTCTCAGACAGAATCTAGGTTACATATCTGAGGTCTCATCCGTCCCGTCTCTCTGTGCTGAACCAGAAACCTCACACGGGTTTTGTTTTTCAGACGTGAACAAGCCAGAAACTGAAAATGTCAGATTCTTCTTCATCATAAAAGTAGATTGTAGGAAGCAGATTTAAGGACAAATAATAAATTAGATCATGAAGTCTTAAATTAATATTTTGAATTTATTCTGATCACAACTGAAAGGAAATATCCTGGTAATAAAGATTTTTATTCCAATTTTTGTTTCTTAAAGGGACTTGACGGAGTTTTTAATTTTTATGCTCGCGATTGCCCCCTCAGGCCAAAAGCATAACGGCAGCTTCAATAGTAGACTCGTGCACGAGGCGCGCATGCTGTACGTGCACACTCCTTAACGAAAATAACAGCTGAGACAGTCCCTTTTGTGTGTGTGTGTGTGTGTGTGTGTGTGTGTGTGTGTGTGTGTGTGTGTGTGTGTGTGTGTGTGTGTGAGGACAGAAGAACGTGCAGCTAATTAATTAAATAATGTGGTTCTGTACCTTTCTCTTCAGCACAGCCGACAAAGGTTTATGATGGGTCAGTCCTCCTGCATGCTCAGATCATTCCCTTTCCTTGATTGAAAAATTGTTCCAAAATGAAAGTTGAACCCACATCTTTTTTATCTGTGAATTCAATGCCGTTCGGCGAGTCTCAAATACAAATTTGGGTATCGTACTGTAAAAAAATATACCATTAATGTAAAAAATAAACTCTAAATAAACTATGTTCACATCCAGAATCTAACCCGGGTCTTCTGCATGAGAGTCAGACATCTTACAAGGTGAGCTACACTCTAGTAACATTCACAGTATCTATAACTTTTATATCCTTGATGACAGCTGAAACGTTCAAAGAACGGTTCGAAGCGAAAATGGCTATTTTGTTGCTAATTTGCAGGAAATATCTAGAAGAAAGTTCTACAGAAAGTAGCTAAGGGTCCTCAGAAATATAGCTAGGTTTGTTACTAGGCGTTAGGAAGTTGGCACTGCCTCTCTCTCTGCTGCTAAAGCTACGGATAGCAAATGCTACGGGCTATGCCTGAGCGTGAACGCGCATGAAGCAGCCTGCTCGACCCGAGCATCTCTCTTTTTCTGTGATTTTACAGAAAAACAGGCAATCACAGTAAAAATGCCAGGGCTCATTCTACAGGACCAGGGCATTGCAGGAGAATGTATGAAGAAGAAATTTATTATTTCTATACATGTTTTGGCTGTCAAACTTCCGTACAGTCCCTTTAATTTAAAACAATAAAAATTTAAACATTTTAAATTATCTCTAAATGACCAGATGGTTGCTTGTTGCTCTGATGAAACACAGAAGATCTCTGATAACGTTAAACACAAAGCCTCAGAAAGCAGGTTTAACGTTCTGACCTTATTTATAAACACAAACAAACCATCACTGCATCAGCCACATAATGAAGATAAAACATGACCTCCTCTCCTCAGGTCTCACCTCGGATGATGCTGAAGAGCTCTTCGATCCTCATGTTGACGTAGATCCTGCAGAAGAACTGATGCATGTGGCATCTCCACTGCTTCATGATGGAGCTGGCAGGCTGGGTGCCCTGGATGCTGGACTGAATGGGACCACTGGGAGCAGCAGGAACAGGAGTGGCTCCGTCCACCTCACTGGCGAACACTTTGCTCAGCCAGCCAAGAACCAGCTCCAGCCACTGCAGGGACAGAAGAGCGTCAGAACATGAAGACAGGAGAGGAAACGGTGGAAAAGGGGTTTTACCTCCTGGAAGTCCAGCAAGAAGGAGCGCTCGTACTCGCCCCGGCAATGCTGCTCCATCCGCTGCTCGATGAGCTTGTGGAGGATGCAGGTGATGGCCTCCGAGCTGACCCACTCCAGCAGCTGTAGCTTCAGTCTACAAACACAAACAGCTGATCAAACATTCATCCGGACGAAGCAACAGCAGAAACAATCAGCAGTGAGATCCTCTCACAGTATGTGGCTGAGCTCCTGCAGCTGCTCCAGGGCCTCCTGACACCAGCACCTCAGGACCGGGACCCCACACCCTGGGCAGGACCCTCCACTGGGGCTGTCTGGAGCCTCGGCCACATCCTCATCGCTGCCCTCCAGTTTCATGTAGACGGAGAAAGTCCTGCTGTAAAACTCCAGCACTCGCTCCTGCAGAATGGGGGGAGGAGAGAACAGCAGGAGGGCTCTGATGGTGGTGAAGGCTCGCTCCTGGAGGCCACTGGGACCTGGACCACACAGACCACCATGACCCTCATCCTGCCACGCCCCAAGCTTCTCCAAACCACCTGCATGGAGGGAGATGGGAAACTAATTACCTGTTCCTCTTTGGTTTTATCCACAAAATAATATAGTGAAAGTCTGGAAAGCAAAAAAAAATCCAAACAACTTTAGAAGTTGGAATAAAATCTTAAAGATTCAAGGACAAGGTCATCACTACTGTATTTGTTCTACTTGCTCAGAAAAGGTTCCAGGCGGTCCAACAGAGTCCTAAAAGCAGTGAGGAGAACCCATGCTCGATCTTTTTCCTCCAGCTCGTTCTCCGGCTGTTTCAGGCAAGACCAGAACTCTGGAACCACCGAGGACGACAGGCGCATCTGCAAAGTTTCCAGCAGCCAGATCCCGAGCAGTCGGCCCAAACCATGACTGCAGAGCAGAAGCAAGGAGTCAGAGAGGCTCTGGTCAGACACCGGGCATCCAGAAGACACCTAGAGAAGGACCCAAACAGAATGGTGGTATGAAATCCACCACAGAATCATCTCCAACCAGAAAAGGGCTGCTGGATGTCTGGTATTCAGGGGCAGGTGGTTAATGTAGGAATGGATGAGAGATGGAATCAGAACTGAGTAAAAGAGCAAAATCATTTCCAACATAAAATACACATTTTATTATAATATAGGTGTTTAATATAAGCCTTTTTCGACATGTCATTTGTGTTTGTTTTTAACTAAATGGCTGACTCAAACTTATGAATATTGAGTTGTTAGTAGTCAACCCATTTTTCTTTGCATGGAGTAAAGTTGTCAGTAAACACGATGACGTCAACAAATGTAAGCCGAAATCCACCGAATACTCCTGCTGACTATTTATAACGCCAGTTTTGTGTCTAGCCCTTAATAAACCAATGTAAAATCCAAAACACCATTCAATCGTGTGATTTACGAATGGAGTCTTGTGACAGCACTTCATTCAGTGTTTGGTTGCTCGTGTCCGAGGCTCTGACCCACTCACCAAAGCTGCAGTCACGGATTCCCACGCCTCAGCGAGCCCCTGGAGCGCTCCGGGCTCAGACATTTCCACCGAATCCGATTCCATCATCATTTCCTCCATTTTATGACACTTTCTTCACAAATGCCGAACCGGCTCCTGTAGATTCAGCATTTAAACCTCAGCATGTCTTGTCTTACCGCGGCGCTATGTGTAAAAAGCATGCCCCGTGTCTCAACCGTGTTTCAACGAGTTTACTAAATAATAACTTTTCCATTCAAGCAAATAGTAATTTACAATACAGGTATGAACATGGTATGGCGGGTTGACTTCTTCTACTTTTTTTTAATCACTTACATGCTACAGGGGTGGACACTGCCCCCTGCAGGTACCGTCCGTAAAAAGTATTTGTTGAGTTTGAATCGGTTTTAATGTTTACTCGCCCCCTCTAGCGGTTAGAATAATCACTACAGCCGGCCACAGACACAAGTTGACAGAACTGAACTACAAAATAAAACATTTCAAAATTGCTTATACAAACTCCACCAGGTGTCAGTAAAGGCCAAATGTTATAAAACTGTACTTATTTTTGTATAAAATTTAAATAAAATCTTTCGAAACGGATGTTAATATCAATAAATATTTCGACATATCTTAGAGAGTAATATAGATGCTTAATGTCTGTGAAGGTTCTCAGTCATCCAGGTCATTGTAGTCTAAGGAGCTTTGAAAGAAAAGCGTCTGGACTTCTTTGAGTTGCTTGAAGACAAAGCTCCTTAGACCATAGATGCTTAATGCACACAAATACAGCTATAAATAATAAATAAATAAATAAACATTTTTAAAAACTGGATCATGACATGTCTTTTAAACGCCGTCGTGTCTCTTATTTTGACAGGTTGTGTGAAAACCGTATCCGCCTTAGCAGCAGCTAGCAGCAGAGACATCATCATGGCAACCGAGTACGAGTGAGTTTGTTGATATGGCAAAAATTCCTTCAAAATATTCATGACACGCTTTGAATTTTACCCGCACGCTCCCGCACATTAAGGTTTGCTGTTCTCGGTACAATCGGATGAAATGTCGTAGGTGTTGTAGCTAGCTGAAGGGGAAGCTAACAGGTTACGTCAAAAGGGCCAGGCTAAAAACAGTAAATAAGCCGAAAACCGTTTTTGTTTACAGTGTTCAGTCTGAGATCGAGGTTCTGCAGTCCATCTATCTGGACGAGCTGAAGGTGGACAGAAGGGACGAGGGGTAAATCTGCTCATTTCAGAACATCTTTGTGTTATAAATCACTGGTTGGGTTATATGTGAGCAAATAATGATATGAAGACGTTAAATATTTGCAACAAAGGGATAAGAATGTCTCCCAAATCTATTTGATGGGAAAAAACTCAGCTGATTATGTTATATATATGTATATATATTTTTTAACTCTTACCATGGGTTTAATTTAATGACAGTCAACCAGAATTAAATGCATCTGTATAAAAAATTATTAGCAATCAAAACAAACATAATAGTATCTATTTTTCCAGGAAATGACTGAGTGATGAATTGGAAAGTGCAGCCAGTGTATTCATTAAACTGAGTAGACAATAGTGGTTCTCATTTGGTCCTAAGCAGAAATGTCTAGAAACATATTTTAATCTGGTGGGGCTTTAACTACCTTCGTGTGTCTGCTGTTGTGTTTTTGCTACAGGAGCTGGGAGGTGAGTCTGGTTCTGTACCCATCCACGGCGGAGGACTCTGTGTCTCAGTTTGTCCGACTCACTCTGACTTTGACCCTCAATCAGCAGGTATGTCCGAGGTTACCTCATGTGTGTGCACAGACAACGGTTAGTGCAGACGTAGATCATACACATTTTTAATAATAAACCAAAAAATGTGATATTTGTTTTGGAAAACAAACTAAGCACATGTCTTGGCTTCAGAAGCTAGTGCCTCTCTAGGGGCAAACATAACCTTCGGTGTTTGTCTTGTATAATATTATTACACGACATTTTATGACTCGTGCCCTTTAGATTACAACAGGCTACAGCCTGCTCCAGACTAACAAAGTCATTATTTCATTGTTCTCTCTCTAACTGGATCTGACTCACTCTGCTGTCTCTGTTGGTTCAGTACCCCTCATCATCTCCTGTCATCTCCATCCGTAACCCCCGTGGGCTTTCTGACGATATACTCAGCAGGTAACACGATGTTTTATTCACAGCTTCATTCCAAAGAAACTGCCCACATTCTGCTTAAAATCTTTTACAAATCTGAGTTTTTCTGCTCAGCGTCCAAAAATGTCTTCAGCTGGAGGCTGAGTCGTGGCTCGGTTCACCAGTCTTATACCAGCTCATCGAGGTCAGAACATGAATCCACCTGTTATATAATACTCCGTGTTCTCTGTTCACTGATTTTCTTCACTGTTTTTCTCCTTCAGAAAGCAAAAGAGATCCTGACTGAAAGCAACATTCCTCATGGAAACTGCGTCATCTGCCTGTATGATTTTAAGGTAAGCTGTTTCCCATCTGCCCGCCTGTCATGACCATTTGCTCTGATCTGTGCTGTTCGTTTGGCGTCTGAACTTTAATCCAAAGATTTAACAGTCGGTTATAAACACTCTTCATGAATTGTGCTCCCTCAGGAGGGCGAGGCGTTCACCAAGACGAGCTGCTATCACTACTTCCACTCTCACTGTCTCGGCCGCTACGCCAGTCACTCTGAGAGGGAGCTCCGCCAGAGGAGGAGGGAGCTGGAGGAGGACAAGACCAGGGACAAAACCGACCATCAGGTCACAAATCGGCACACGCCAACCAAAGTCCAAGGTCTCCTGAGTCCTTACTCTGATTGTCTGACAGGAGCTGACTGTGCTGTGCCCGGTGTGCCGAGAGCCTCTCATGTATGACATCGATCAGCTGTTGTCATCTCCTGCACCACAGCTGCCTGAGGTAAAACTCTGATTTACAGACCTGACGTGCCCCTCATCAGTGACAGAAACCTAACAGGCTTCTCCTCTCAGCTCGACGAGGCAGCGGTCGGGTCAGACTTTCAGCAGAAGTGGCGTGAGCTCCAGAAGCTGTTGGAGAAACAAAGATCTAAAGGTGGGATCATCGACCCTGAGGTGGAGTCAAATCGCTTTTTGATTCATATCCACGAGGTAAGAATGAAGTCGGACTCAAAAGAATGTTAAGCCGGGCGTACACTGTGTGACCTTTTCACTTTTTTGAGCCGATTTTCCACTCATGCGAGAATCCACGAGATCGGGGCGAGTTTTGCGCCGAGCGTCGTGTAGCGTCGAGAGGCGATTAACACCACGTGACCAGCTACCGATCAGCAATCGTGAGCTTGCACGGACTTCTGGTGTGTTTAATATTTCGCTCGTCCCTCGTGAGGGTATCGCACTGCTGAAGCGGCGCTGCGAGCGGCTGCGACCCAAAAAGTATCAGAACCGCTCACGGCGCATACGCAATCCTGCATCAACACCGCTCGCTATTTCCCTATAACACACGCTGTTCGTTTTTGTTTCTACTCGTTTTTTTACTCACAAGGATTGTGAAACTAGGTGGTTTGTCGTGTTCATGTCAAATTAAACTGATCACAAAACACAGATTTACTTTATTTCGTTTTCCTCATCCAACCCCCATAAATCCCTGTGTGTCCTCCTGCAGCACTCCCGAAGGACAACAGGCAAAACAAGACAAAAAAGTCTGACGTGTTGAGTAAAAACTGCTATTTTTAGCATATTTTTAGGGCCGACGTGTTGCTACCAGACGTGCAGTGTGAGCGCATGACTCGTGAGATCTGCCCTGCAAGGAAGTCGTACAGTTTGAGCTGAAGCTGCGTGCTATGAGTGGAAAAGTCACACAGTGTCCGCCCAGCTTTAGGGTAGCTGACCTTTGTGTAGGGAAGCCTATTTCTGCCAGTGCAAGTATAAGATAGATAACGTTTGACTGATCCATCACATAGGGATGTATTTTCATCATTGCAGTGGTAAAAATCTGCTTCCATTAGTTAGACTTGATTTTTTTTCCTCTTAAAAGGATCTTTTGAACGTATTTGTGACGCTCACCCACGCTCAGATGGTTTTGTTCTGATTCTTTTGCCATTCAAGTTAAAGTTTAGCAAACCTAGTCAGGGATGTGCAATAAAACGAGCGTGTGATGATGATGATGATGATGATGATGATGATGATGATGACGATGATGATGATGATGACGATGCTATAGCCAAACACTGGCCTGGTGGGGGAGTTTCTGTGTCCATGTAGATGTAGCTGAGTCTTTAAATGGTTGAAACTCAATGCCTCCTTTGGGCTGCAGCTCTGTGGATGAACCCCTGCTGATTAGAAGTCAGAGCAAACGGGACGGTTTGGAACAGAGAAGGTGTGAAAACTGTTGGTCATTGGTGATTCACAGCAGTAATTAGTCAAATCTTCATGTATTTGGAGGATTTTTCAAGATGATCGTGAGTTCTCTTGATGTTTCAGGTGCTCCTTCCAGTCTTTGCTCTTAAAGATTTTTTCTTCTTTTAAAAATAAAAATAGTACTCTGTTTGTACTCAGTGTCACGTTACGATGTGTGTGTTGGCTCCTGCAGACTCCACCTGTGGCTGAAAATGAAAACCTGGAGGTTGATGTTTCTCCTGGCCTCCCAGGGCCCCCCTCCTCTAACGAGGCTGGTGTCCAGGTGGAGCAAGTTGTTCCTGGACTGCCTCAGTGTGGAGACACTCCGGGTCAGAGGCGTCAGGGTCAGAACCACGTGAGGGGGCCAAGAAGAGGGGGTAGGTCCGGACCTCATCAGAGGAGAGGCGCCCCCATCAGAGTGCAGCTAGAGAAGCTTTGCCTGTCCTCGGACTGCACTGAAGAACCAATCAAAACTGACGCTCGGGGAGATCAAAGCCGACAGGTGCAACTAAACCCGGAGTCACATCAGAGCAGGAGCAGGATGAGCAGAGAAATCTCTGCAGAGCAACCGGAGAGGCAGGTCTCTCCGAACCACCGAGCCAAACATCCGTCAGCTCTGGAAGTCGAATGCCCAAAAGATGGAGGAAACTCTGCAGGCGGTCGTGGACATCGTGGAAGGAGGAGGGGTCCTCACAGACCTGGCCCACATTTCAGGACTCCTGGACCTCCACATCACTACTTGGATGGTCGAGCCCCCAGAGGTCACGGAGGAGCCAATAATCTGTGGGGAGGTGAAGGTGGTGGAGGCAGACCCAGCCGGGGTCACCACAGCAGGGGGTTTCATCAGCAGGTGGTGGAGCAGGGAAGAGAGGAGGTGGTATGACAAAGGGCAACAGGAGGGTCAGAGAACACGTATTTGTGCACCTCCGTTATCAGTCTGCTTAGATTTAAGCCCTGCAACAGAAAAGACTTCCACCCTGGTCTCTCACCCTCCCGTTTGTCTCCATCATCCTGGTGTCTGGTTTGCACTTTAATGCTCTCGAACGTCACATACAGATGGTCGCTGCTTTGTGTTGTGATGTTATCTGACTTAAAGAACTATGAATTAAATTTATCTGGATGTCATCCTGCGACTGTGTGTCTGCTTTCCTGCTTAAACATTTAAACACATTTTTATTTTGTTGATTTAGTGGGAAGAGCTTTGCTATGTGATGTAAACATGGTCAAACCACAAATGTTTTAAATTTACTCCAAAGTATAAAGACTCTGACATTTATTACTTTTAACGCCTTTTACGTTACTTTCACATGCAGCTGTTTTCTTAATACCGTGCTGCATGCACCATGATCATATGCAATTAGAACATTTGTAGAATTAAATCAGGGAAAAGTATAATTTTTAAACATCATGTAAGTTTTCCAGAAACCACTATTAACTAAATTGGTATTTTGAATATAGTGGATACCTGTGGGAGACTTTACATTTACACTGAGCTGTTTTATCTGGTTTGATGTTTAAAATTCTCATGAGACCTGAGCATTTATTTGGATTTAATTTCTCCCGTCTATACTGGGTTAGTAGGACCTCAAAAACACGTAAAACTTTAGTTTTGAAAATGTATCAGTTCAAAGTACAAGTTGTAATCTTTCATAATTGAAACATTTTAAATGAGAAAGAAGTATCTAAATAATCGGAGTGTGAAATATAAGCCTGTGTCAGGCAGATGTCAACCAGAAAATGGAGTTTTAGTCTGCAATATAAATATAGTAAGATGAAATAAATATTCTCACACAATTTAGATGAATAAAGAACACATTTAAATGTTCCTACCCATTATTGGATCTGATTCATGAAAACTTTGTAATTTGTTTTATTTAATTGGGAGGAACTCATCTTTGATGCTGTTCTCGATAACATCGAGCCATTTATTATGAAGAACCAAACAAACCACCAGCTGCTCACGGGAGATGTAGTTTTAGGCCGAAGGGGGAGGTTTTTTTTTTTTTTTTTTGGTGACGCCATCTTGGCTGCAGGACCAGCCCCCTGCGCGCCGCGGAACCGCAGATTGTAGTTGTTTTGAACACGACCGGGTATGACTGGCGGGAACGCGTTTCACAAGAACTACTGCAGCAACAAAGACTCCGAACCCAGAATGGACGTGGACATGGACTCGGGTCGGACTGAGAGTGAGCGCGGAGAGCTGGACAGCAGCATCCCGGCTCCGTGCTCCTCCAACGGCAGCGGCGGGGAGGAGGACGAAGCGGAGGCCTTGGCTCGGCCGAGAGAAGCCGGCGGCTCGAGTATTCAGCACACCCCGGATGGAGGCGGGGTGCTCGGCAGCGGAAGGGAGCAGGAGGTGTCGGTGGAAATCGGAGAAACGTATCTGTGTCAAAGAGCCGATAAAACATGGCGTGAGTACTAACCCCAGTCACCCCCGTCCTGCTGGTGGAGACGGTGTGGATATCAATTTGTTCAAAAAACTTTATTAAGAACGCATGTGCGCACAGAGGAGCTTAAACGCACTTCTTCTGGTTTAGGTGGATATTACTGGAAGATCGGGTTATTTCTAACATTTAAAATCACATTTTAAATTGGCAACCTAATAATTAAGTATAAACTTCAAATCCAAGTATTTAGTAATAGCTCAACAGTTACGCCCAAAACAAGTATCCATGTAATGTAAACATGTATTTTTACTGCTTTGTTTACCCAATAAATATATGTACACCATTGTCCAGTATTTATATTTAATAACTGATGTAAGTGAAGCTGATTTAGATCTATGCATTATATTTTTATTTATTTATTATTTACTAAATTATGGCTTTACTAAAATACATTTTGTTTCCTTTTTGCTTGAAGACTTTGAAGCTCGTCTGAACGGTTGCATAACGATTCTTAAGACTTTCTATAGCTCTCTTAAAGTTTATCTTTGGACTTGGGATGCTTTTTCTCTTAATTTCGATGTAGCTTTGTTGGACTCGGTTCGTAAATGTGCACAAGTGGTGAGCAACATGTTTGGCTTGTAACTGGATTCTGTGGCTTTTGCAGACACCGCAGAAGTGATTCAGTCTCGACTGAATGAGCAGGAGGGTCGGGAGGAGTTTTATGTCCACTATGTAGGTTGTAAGTACAAAACTCACCCTGTTGGGGCGCAATTTAAATCCACGTGTGTTTGTTTGTGCTTTCTTTGTTCTTTCATCTGCTCGCATTCTGAGAGATTTTTATTTCTATGGCAAACAGTCAACAGGCGGCTGGATGAATGGGTGGGTAAATCCCGCCTGGCGCTCACCAAGACAGTGAAGGATGCAGTAAGAAAGAGCACAGAGATCGGAGGTGTGGGTGATCTGGGGGATCAGCCTGAGAGGAAGATTACCCGCAACCAGAAGCGGAAACACGATGAGATCAACCATGTGCAGAAGGTTGACATGTTTGTTTCTTTTTGTTAGTTTTAGATGTCATGAGTTTTGTTTATTTGATGATGTTTTGTTTACAGACGTATGCAGAGATGGATCCAACAACAGCAGCGCTGGAGAAGGAGCACGAGGCGGTGTGTAACTATCTCTGCTTCGCCTGTGAGGATAAATAACCCTACATGTCAGCTTCTAACCCTTTCACTCACTTCAAATCTCCAGATCACCAAAGTGAAGTATGTAGATAAGATCCAGATTGGAAACTTTGAGATTGACGCCTGGTACTTTTCCCCGTTTCCTGAGGATTATGGCAAGCAGCCCAAGCTGTGGATCTGCGAGTACTGCCTTAAATACATGAAGTATGAGAAGTCGTTCAGATTTCACCTGGTGAGTTTATCTCTAAACAGTAAGTGCTGTGCTGTGGGTTCTTGTTTTATTTAGATTTTAAAGTTAAGGTAGTGATCAAACAGAAGCTAAAGTGCAACAAAATCACAGAGTCTTTGCATTTGGTTTCAAAACATCTTAAAGGTTTTTATTAGGGATGACGAGTGCTTGTGAGCAATCAGTGTCTTACCTGCAGAAAACATGGATGGGATCAAGCGAGACGGAACGAGTGTCGTAAAATTCATGCAGAGGCATGGCACGTTTATAAGAAACGCTGTTGCCGTAATATTACTCTGATCTGCCGGAACGGTGTGTCTTGTAAAAAGGGCTTAAAACAGAGGCACGAAACTGCTCAGAACAGAGACCGGCAACGTCATTGGGTACCTCTTAGTAGGGCTGCTCGATTATGGCAAAAATAATAATCACGATTATGGTGACTGAAATTGAAATCACGATTATTTAGGACGATTTTTCTATTTATGTTGATTTTATTTGTTTTTATTCAGTCATAAAATTGCTCAGGGCACAATCAGGACAAAAATAAGAAACAAGATGATCACTAAAATAACTCCTGATTCGCAGTATAAAAAGACCAATATACTTATAGCTCATAGTCTATGACCCAAGGGTTATAGACCTTGGTTTAACTCATTTAAGTGTAATCAGTACAGACCCAAATACCAATATCTTGCATATACTGACAGCAAGAATTATACAGTGGCATTTATAACAAATACATGCAAATAAATTGATGTTCACAAAATGTTGCATAATATGTATTTAGTCATGTCAAGGTGCTGCTGGAGAGTGCACTAGCACCGTGTCCTCAGAGAGATTAGTTATTATTTATCAGCGTGAGGAACTTATTTCTACCTTATTTATAAACTATTTATTTACAAGTCCATCAGTTAATGTAATAATTGTCCCAACCACAGCTGCACCCCCCACCCCCCAACCCGGTCTCACAGCAATCGGGGCAAGCTGCACGTGTGTTTAGCACGCTGCACGTGCACATTTAGCCGTTTTAGTAGCTCAGGAGTCCGCAGGTACGGTGTGTGTGTCACTCACTCTGGTTAATCCAACAGGGAGCAGGGCGGCTCCGAGAGCTGTCTTTAGCGACTGGCACATCACTGCATCATTCCCTTTCCTAATGTCCTGAAGAACGGTCCGGAGCGCAGGCGGAGTGTTTAGCTAACCTGCAGGAAATGTCGACGACAGTTATCCAGAAAGTAGCTAAGGGTTACCAGAGATGTTTCTGAGGTGTTCGCTAGGTACTTTTAAGTTAAAAAGTCAAGAAGGGGGTCTGAAAAGCTGCTAGAAATAGCGTCAAAGTTACAAAGTTGGCAACACTGTGGGAGGAGCGCTTCATTTGCAACTCGGGGCAGCGCAGGTGGGAGGAGCAAATAATCAGCTTGTTTTGTTTTTTATAATCGTTCAAAACTCGGATCGTAATCGTGATTAAAATTCGATTAATTGAGCAGCCCTACCTCTTAGCCATCAGCTATGGCTGATTCCAAATCAGTGTAGGGCAGAGTTTTAACATGAAGATGGAAATATAATGAATTTTTTAGCCTGAATTTTTTATTTTAAACAAGGTACACAAAAAATACCAAAATATTGATTACACATGACATGTCTACAGCACTATTAGACATTCATTTATACAGTTTATCAGCAAAAAATGTTGATTTAGGTGTTACTAGTTTCTTAAAGTTGCAGTGTGTAGTTTCTAGCCACTAGAGGGCAGTACATACATACATTTCAGGGTAGTTTTACACCGCATCTTTGTGACTGTTGCTAGTTAAAAAAGCATTACAGTAAATGTTACCTGTGGAGCAGAAAGAATGCAAACTTGTCGTGACTCCTCAGACGTTGATGGTTCTTTGGGTAATTCCATAAGAGAATGCAATGCCAATTCAAAAATACTTTATTAATCCCA